AGAGTAACATTTTTTATTACGAATACAATTACATCATTTATAAAAACACATTATTTTAAAAATTTTTATTAGCCGATCTTAGTTCACGTCAATGTAATTGAAAACTACAAATGGACATGGTCGTTACCTTGCGCGTAGATAAACATGATAAAGTAGCCTGTCGCTTGATCCCAAAATTCCGGGACGAGATCGATGTTATCGTGTTAATTAGATTACCAATTAAGCAAAGATAATTAACCGTTGCTAATTAACAGTAGATCAGGAAACATCATCCGATTAAGGCGTCCTTAAAAGCGTGCTAAAATATCTAGATGTTTAATCCGCGTTCCAAGGGGACCGAGCTAAAGGAGTTTTGATTTTGAGCATTTGAGCTCTTTCGTTTGGCGTGCGGCTAGGTTTCCCGAGACCTCTTTCCACAAATTTGGGAATTTTATAAAATGTATCGTGATTTTAGGCGGATCTTTTTCCGTTTGGGCTTCTTGTCATTAAGATTTGAACGTTAATTTTTTTTGCATTTGCAATCGTACCGTATCGTAAAATTTAAAGGTAGGCCTTTGAAGCCTTTCGTTCGTTAATCATAAGGGAGAGGTTGTACATTGTTCTGTTTTCGTTCCCACAGCTTTAGTTAATTCATTTCCCACTTTCCCTAAATTGATGTTTGGCTGTGCATCTTAATTCTGTTTTAGAGCTTCTGCTAACTGATCGCTTGCTATACCCTTCTGATCTTTGGAGCTTGCCGTTTCTTTGGCTGCCCAAACCGTTTCAAAACCGCCATTCTTAACCAGGAGCAAGGGCTAAAACCTCCCGGTGGTGCTCGAGTTTGATTCTAATAAATACGCTTACCATTCGTATTTTAAGTTTTAGGTCAAAGAATCAAAGATAATACCAAGATAAGATGATATGTAAATAAGACGCCGAGCTGGAAATTTACATTTAATTAAGAAATATGAGGTTTTAGCAAAAATTGTTTTCGTTAAAATTAGACATTTACATCAGAGGTGTGGATCATGTTTAAAATTATTAAAATAGAGTACCTGTAATAGAATTTAAAATAGGTAAATTTAGTTTGTTAAACTTATGGTATAAATAATTGATGTACTGATCTTCGAATGGTAAAATGATTCCCACATTTCGAGGGATTTCACACAGACTTATTCGACGGACAAAGACTACACTAACAATGTACCTAATAGTTCAACGGAAACGAAACTCTCAAAAACTTTTACAGCTATCGAGTCTGACATTTCCAGAAAAGTAGAAGGAATGCAGAAGACTGATCTTAAGCTGATATTGAAGCGGTTATTAGCCCACTCAAAAACACTTGGACATTAAGATATTCTCAGTGATATCGAAGGATAATTTGCCAGTGGCGTATTACTTTTTTACTATTAAGTAAAATTTGAAAAATTATTGTTCTTATTTAATTTGATATGACATTGTAAAATGATAGGCGTGTTTTTTTTTGGATACATAGAGTTGTTGTATACAATTTTCTTATTTATAAAAATTATTTGTTATGGACTGGTGTGTTTAAAAGAAAATGGGTCCATAATTGATAACATTTTGTTTACGTTACAAGACATAGACAAGTGCTTTATTACAGTGCGACGAAAATTGGCATTTTTAAAAAGAAAGTGGAAATTGTTCGCGGAACGCTTCTTTATAAACGGAGTATTAGAAGAAAAGTAGATTTTCTTTGGATATTTAAACCATATTTTATCAATTAGAAAACAACTTTCAGTAGAGAAAGATTGCCTACTGTGGGGAGGGGGGGGGTGGTTAGTTCTTTTAAGCATGCGAAACAATACTCTGAACTGAATTTACTACATGAGTCGCAGTTATAGGTGTTAGATCAAAAACGTTGGCACGTTTTCATTTTTGGCGACCCAACATTACCGAGTACTAAAAATTTGATTGCGTTTTTTGATATTTGCTAATTTCATCAAAACCCAAGACATGACAATAATTTAGTTTAGTCTACTAACACGTGGGAGAGAATTCATTTTGATTTATTACATTTGTAAGGGAAAGTACTGTTATATACATATTTTTTTTATAAAACCAAAACCTTAGTTATAAACATTTCTTACGTAATTAGTTTTTTATGCGCCCAACAATAAAATGTACAGGATGTTGCATTTAAAAACAAAAAGTTAAGGCCTTTTCCGGTTAAACCGGAAGTCGAAAAAAGAAGACATTACGATTTTATTAAATGCATTAATATTTATTATATAGAGGCACACCAAGTATTAAAAAAATTGCTTCATCAATAACGGAGATATTCGACTGCTCCGGAACTTTTTATTTACCCTGTACATATAAATAGGATGGCAGTTCCGGCACCTTTTTATTTGCGAATACACCACTGCCCTAAACTCAAATTGACATATACTATCACTCATATTTTTTTCCGATTTAGAAAATTAAGGTCTTTTTGAGCTAAGCTTTTTTGCAATTCAAATGCGCCTTTTGCCGAATTTTTGAATAAGGCTTAATTGAAATGGATTTAAGCCACAAATCCACAGTAAAAAAGAATACCAAAATATGGGTAGTGTTGGCACTTTTCAATTTTTACTTGGATTGTACCTTCGGTACTGGTTCATTTTTAAATTTTTTCTCAATGCATCAAAAAATAAAGACAAAAACATTTCTTCATTAACCATATACTAATTAAGAAGTTGCACTTACCGATCTGTTTCGGCAAGAACAACGTGTTTGAGTTCATTATGCGAAAATGAAAAATTCATTGTCATTATTAATTCAAGGCAGCGGAAAATGAATGAATGGTAAAAACGCGTCACTAATTAATTGACTTGCAAATTACTTTTGTAGTAGTATATGGACGGTAATAATTCCTATAAAGCAGAATACAATGCATCGCGTTTGAGTAACAAGAATTGTTACCCGCCATACGATTTACGATATATGACACAATTTCGGTCGCGAGCAGTAAGTGTATAGGATAAATAACAAGCTATTTATTCAATCAATGGCATATATAAACTCATTGATCGAATTTTCCCGCATGCGCCATTGTGTTAGTCCATTCACAAGTTTTTACATTGAAACAATGAGGCCAATGTCAAATTTATTCCAAGATTGAAGGAAATATTCATTATGATTTCTCACTTGGTCTGGATTATTTTTGTTTGGTTTTGTTTGGTTTGGTAGGTACCCATTGCGGCGAATTTTTTATGCTGGCAAGAGTTCATTACCGTATTTATGTAGGTATGTATTTACGTAGATACATCCGCATTTGGTAGTCCCGCATCCAAGGATGAATAAAAACCTATGAGCATCATTCTATACTGAGTTTAGGATGTCGAATCCATTAATAAAATTCCTAATGTTGTAAAAATATTAAATAAATAAAGTACCTATGTCCAGGAATAGGAGTTAAGTGTTGCTGGAGTTGTATGGGTGTTATCTACAGGCTGAAAATTTTGTCTGGAACATTGAATATATAAAAACAACATTTTTTTAAAAGAACCTTTTTATGGTAGGTATCAAAAATTGCTACTGCTACTGTAACAAAAAAATGCACTCTTTAGTAATATGTAATGAAAACTATACAGGGTGGTAACTTGTGTAACGCATCATAGGGATTTCAATGTAAATTTCATAACATATGATTATTATCTCCCCAAATTATTTTAGACCAAAAATGTATTAAGGTTTTTTGTAGAAACAATTTTTTTACGTCAATCAACCGTATTAGTTTTCAATTTTTTGCATAATAAAGTCGGAAAATTGGAAAAATACAATCCCCATCTTTTTCAATAATATGTGATGCCATGGAATTTTATAATACAAAAACTATGCCAATATCCGTCTTGCCATGGAATGTCTGCTATAAAACAAATCAAATTCTATCAAAAAGTATTATATTTAGAACAGCGAATTCAACATAAAGAAGGACCAATCCGATTGCAGTCTTGGTTGAAACTCCGCCCACTTAAAAATAAAGACCAAAAATAAATAGATTTAATTTATATCGATATTAATTTTCCCGTGAATTAAACTTTTTTTTTACCATCTCATTAACCACTCCAGTGCGGTCGTACGGGTGATTTTTTTGATCCGCTTCACGTGACTGTTCTGGCTACCAGCATTTTCTCCACGCCTACCTATCTTTCGAACTCTTCCATCAATAGGATTAATTCCTTTTAGCCAATGATATCTTCTGAACCCAAAATTGCCTGCTTTCACATACAGTAAAATATAAAATCCTGCTCAACAGCGTGATAACGCGCGTCACCGTCATGTTGAGTCGGCTTTGGAAGTTCAAGTTAAACACGATTTCCCATGCAAACAAAAGTTCCAAAGGTGACTCGATACAGCAACTCATTTTTGATCGCACATTACTTTCTTCAGTTTTACTCTTGATACCCAGCTGGCCAGTTTATGAATAATAATTTAAATTTTGAAGTTGCCTGGAATAGATGAACAACCGAATGCAATGTTAATTGTCAATCTTACTTGATTCATCTGCCTTTATTCTACCTGTAGAGAAGTTCAAACGCAAAAAAACCACTTCTGGTAAGTTTCAGTAAATAACATTGCTAAAATGGACAAGAGGCATTATAAAAAGCAACGATTAATTTGGGTTCGACAACTCCACAATTGGACTGTTGAAGACTGGAAAAAACTCATTTGGAGCGAAACACCATTAATTTAGTATATAGCAATAAAAAATTAAAAAAATGTTAGTGGCTGAATACTTTTGAACGGTAGTGTATATTGAATACAAATTTGCACGCAATATATACTGTATAAGAAAAAGAAAATAGTTTTCTATACATTTTCTTCTGGTACAAGAAATATAAAGAGGCATAACATACAATAAGCATCTCGCACGATTAAAATCAAATTGTAGCATTCAAGCGACTATAATAACATTAATAACTGTGTGCAAATGCTGTGTTGCCAAATTCTCTTCTGTGCTGGCAATGCGTGCTACCAACCTACCGTCCGCTACAAATACCAGTGGGTCAGTTATTTTTAAATCGAAAAGCCCTGTTCAAGTTTAGGTTAGGAATCTGTATTTATTTGTGATTATTTACTTCACCCTCAAGCGTTTGGTAGATTTTGGCGATGAATGAATGCAGCGTGGTTTTGCCTTTCAAAAGCTGCAACATTATCTGATATGTTTATGGCTGCAACCGATCAAATTATGTCCATCCAGAAAGTTGAAGTTCCGGACATTTCCTTGGTTAAAAAGGAACCCGATGAACAGTGGAACATACATTTACAATCTAATGCCACTAACATTGCCACAGTGAAAGTGGAAGCAAAATATGAAAATGAGGTTAAAGTATTTTATACAAAACAAGAGGTTCTCGTAAACGATGACACTAACGACAGTATTAAACATGAAGATACTAAAAAGGGTATTGTGGATGCAAATAATCTACAAACCCTAGCACATCATGATAACATTGGTGTCAAGCAATACGCAAATGGTATACCAGTTCCTTACGTGCCAAATGGACAGCGTAATGCGATTCCTTCACAGGTAAAGGTATCAAAAAGATTTAAATGCCAGCATTGTGACTATGTAACAAACTGGAATAGCTGCCTACAGAGACATGTGCTCGCACTTCACAGTCCAATGGATTTTAAATGTGACCATTGTGAATATGTAACCAATCGGAAAGACACTCTAACTAATCATGTGAACGCGCTTCACTTTTCAATCAAGTTTAAATGTGATCATTGTAATTATGAGTCAAAGTGGAAAACTAATCTAAACAGACACATCATTGATTTTCATGATTCATGCCAATTTAAATGTGAACACTGTAGTTACACAACAAAATATAAAACTCATCTATCCAACCATACAAATGCTCTTCATGCAAATGTAGTATACGAGCCTGTTTCAAATGAATTTAAATGTGAACAGTGTGACTATGTAACAAAATGGAAAAATGCTCTGGTTCAACACATGACTGCCATGCATAGTACAAATCAATTTAAATGTGGTTATTGTGAACACGTAACAAAATGGAAGCACACTCTAGCTAGACATGTGGAACGTCGTCATAGCCTAACAAAATTTAAATGCGAACAGTGTGATTACATAACAAAGTACGAAACCTTTATGGCAAGGCATCTGAATCGTTGCCACGGTGTAACTAAAAAAGGATCAAGTGAATACAAATGTGCCCATTGTGAATATGAAACAAAGTGGAGGCAGCATCTCGTACTGCATATCAGACGTCATTACAGATCAAATAAGTTGAAATGTGAACAGTGTGATTACGTCACGAGTTGGAAAAGTGCTCTAACACACCATGTGAATGGTAACCATGGGCCAATTGAATTTAAATGTGAGGATTGTGGTTTTGTAACGAAATGGAAGTATAAAATGGGGCTTCATATGAAAATTCATAAGTAGTTACTATATAGAAGTGCGTGTAATTGTCTATACATTCACTGGAAAAGGTTATTACTTTAATTATAAATTCTTAGGATGTTTTTTTAACTCAATTAATAATAAATAAATCGTAATAGTATGTCTTTATATAATTATTTTATGAGAGGCAGGAAACTAACCCTTATATTTTTACTCGTTTTTACTATATTATTTATTTTCGTCATTGGGTTTCAAGTCTCTTCTGCTTTATGATAAGTCAAGTCAATATACTGACCAATGCAAAGGATATAATACATTCGCTCCTCTTATTTTTTACTCTGAGGTTTACTTTTTATTTAGTCCCATCGGCTGTTTGTATTTCTTGACCAGTGGCGTACCTCTATTGTATTTATTCTATATTATATTATAATATAAAGAACAGAAAAGATTGAGCGTATGCCGTTTTTGTGTTATGCGTGTGTAATCAGACTGTTTTTATTGATATTATTCACGCACGTCGAGTATGCCGATATTTTGTTTAATATTAGGGTTTTTTTTGTTTTTCTACAGCCCATACTTTTATTAGGCCATGGTATAGGTTATGGAATGTAGACTCGGTTCGTTTTATGTTTCCTCACTGTATATTTACCGCCATGACGTTGATTATTGTACATAACCTATAATTTTTGTTTTGAAAAATTCCTTTCCTATGCAAAAAGTGTATTTCGAAAAACATTCACGATAAAATCTCACAGAATGTCATCTGTAGACAATGCCAAGGCTACTATTGATAATATTAACATTAACAATTTGCCCATCAATTCGGAAGAATATAAAATAAACGACTGGTTATTTAAGTACAAGAAATCACACATTCTTCACTCAAAGTGTAGCACCCCTGATTCGTGCAAGAACGATAGCTGCACTCCCTGCGTTTTTTGTATGTAAGTAGCATACAATTTTAGTTCGAAGATTCTTATAAAATTTCATGTAGGTTTACTACAGGTGTACAATTACCACATTTGCCAGAGATGGTATTTCCGAATAATGTACTGTCACTAATTCATGGCAGTGGACTGCAAATAGAATTTAATGCGTTAGATGCTTTGAAATTGGTATCAAGCGTGGAGCTAGATCTAAAGGTGGCCTATGCGGAGGCGTGGAAGGAATCACGCGACCCCTCCAATCTTGTCGAGAAGATTAAACCTTTCGATTGGACTTTTAGTACGAATTACAATGGTTCACTTTCTGGACGGTTTTCTATAGAACCTACAGACGAGCGGATAAACATTGAACGCTTAAAGGAACGAGAAAAGATTTTGTTTTATGAGGATCTTATGCTGTTTGAAGACGAGTTACATGATAACGGTATTGCCTCATGCACAGTGAAAATTGTAAGCTCCGAGTTGTTTGTAATTATTACTTTAATTATATTTTTAGAGGGTAATGCCAAGTTCGTTCTTTGTATTACTTCGTTTTTTTCTTCGCGTTGATGGAGTGCTGGTGCGTATCAACGATACGAGATATTATCATGATTTTTCGACACCATATATATTAAGAGAATTCACATGTAGGGAAAGTCCAGTGCAACAATTAAACGTACCGTTACAAATGTTTGGTGATCCTAATTCAATCGGCCCTCACTTGCCTGTGTGCAAAGGTACTTATGAGAAACTAAGTTGGACGAATAGCGATAAAAAAGATATTGCGACTGCTTCAAGTTAATTAGTTTGATTTATTCCAAGGTTTATTTATAAGTAAATATTTCTAAACATGTATTAATTTTAATTGAAAATAAAACAATTTCTTTTATAGGCTAACTTTTATGGCATCCAAAGACATTATATTATAAGTATGTTCTTTCAGGCTTTTGTGGCTATAAGGTAGGCAATACACAATGCTTGACACACATTAGGGTCCTAAAGTTAACTTGATAGTGCTTATTCATATTCAATGCTTGCATGAAATTAAAAAGCTGTAGGTATTGTATTTCTTTTAGTAATCGAATTTGCATTTTGTTACTGAAAAATTTTTCATATTCCTAGTTTTTACGTCTACAGTAAAAAATTCTCTCAAATTCTACATTCATACTGAATTGAGCAGATTAAGACAAAAGTGGTAATAAGCCTGTAGCCTGTAGGTAGGTATATCATCTGATGCAAGTACATTACACCAACATACTATGGTAAGCATATCTTATACCTTATCAAATGCAACTAGGGATGACAACCTTTATTATACTGCTAATTAGCACAGTCTATTCACAATACTGTGCAATCATTAAGGTAATGTTATTTGTAAATATAATTAAGAGTTAGAGTTGCTCTTTTTTCAATAGTTCGATTCGGCACACATTTTTTAGTGTAAAATCAATTGGAGAAGAGAAAAAGGGGTTCAATTTAAAAAACCAGGTGTCAAATTCTTGACAGAATAGCTTCCTAGCTGAAACCAAAAATTGCCAACATATGTTTTTTTACGCATGCATTTTGTTTGCTTTTATTAGAGGGACCTACCATCCAAATTTCGTTAAAATTGCTCCATAAATAAGAAAGTTCGATGTTGCACATGCGCAGCACTATTTTTTGCGCATGCATTTTGTTAGCTTTTATTAAAAGGACCTACCATCTAAATTTCGTTAAAATTGTTCCATAAATAAGAAAGTTGCATTTCTGCGCATGCGCAACACGATTTTTGCGCATGCATTTTGTTTGCTTTTATTAGAGGGACCTACCATCCAATTTTCGTTAAAATTGCTCCATAAATAAGAAAGTTGGATGTTGCACATGCGCAACTCGATTTTTTGCGCATGCATTTTGTTTTCTTTTATTAGGAGGACCTACCATCCAAATTTCGTTTTAATTGTTCCATAAATAAGAAAATTGCATTTCTGCGCATGCGCAACACGATTTTTGCGCATGAATTTTGTTTGCTTTTATTAAAGGGACTTACCATAGAAATTTCGTTTAAATTGCTTCAGAAACAAGATCGTTGCGTTTTGCACATATGCAACACAATTTTTTGACTTTGACAATTTTTTTCTCCGTTTTTTGATAATATAACCCGGCCCAATTTTTTGTAGGTTGTACACAGGAAAATAAGGTCTTCCAAATAATAGAATAAAAATTTTAGGTTGCTATTTGAAAAAAAAAGTTCGATTCCGTTACGGCGCTCCATAATTTTTTTTCAAAAATCCGGCCCTTTATTTTTCTGTTGGATATGCCTAAAACATATATACAAAATTTCAACAAAATCCGTCGAGCCGTTTTCTCAGAAAATTGCCAACAAACGTACGTACGTACGTACATACAGACGGAAAAAAATTTTATTCTTTAAAAGTTGCTTAAAATGGTCTAAAACGTCGACATTTGATGAAATTTTGAAATGTTCAAAAAACGGCTATCGCAATAGCTACCTAGCACATGCTAGGAAGCTAATAAAGGTTTTTCGTTCTCAACCCTGAGAACTTGACGAGAATTCTGAACACCCTGTATATATAACGGGCGATAAAAAATGAGTGCTGTCGTTGGAAATTCAAGCATTGAATTTATAAGTTATAAATTCCTCAGAGTAAGAAATAAAGATAGAGTACGCGTACGCTATAACAACGTGAATGTTTGTTTTGAACCAACATCTCACCGTTGAGAGGACGAAAATAAACATTAGTCAGTGGCGTAGGGTTTATTTATCTTTATGGGCAACAAAGTTTATGTTTTGTTTACATGTGCAAACGTAATAACGTATCACTAAATATTTATGATCAAAAGCTGTATGTGTTTGAAAGGTCCCCCATAAATTAATACACCATAAATCGAATAAGTCTTGCACTATAAAAACGCCTAAAAATTGAGGAATCACGTTTTAACGAAATAAACAAAATACCTCTCAACGGAGATAGTTATTTACATTATTATTAGTGCGGGAACAGTTATTTTGCAGATGAGCGCGAAGTTTGCCGGCGCGAGTGCGCTACGCGCACGAGCGACGCATGTCGCGCGAATCAAGCAAATACTGTTCACGCACGTAACATGTATTCTATTTTTTGCACGGATTAGTTAAATCGAATTTATATAAATTCAAATCCTTTTCGTGAGATTTTTGCGACATTATAATTCTTTTGAAAAAATCAAGTCCTCTATGCCGATAAAGTAGAAATTTAGAAATTTAAAATGTCAATTTATTATTCAAAACTTCTGGTTTAAGCTTATTTTTGCCCATGTACTACAGGGAATGATGTAAAGTGTATTTATATTTTCTTTTTTACTCTTCCATCATACTACTTTTTAGTTTATGATCCGCACTAAATAAATAATTTCGTTGAATTTTTAGGCACTAGTGCGCGAAAGTAGATTGACGTTCCCGACGTTCGTGTTTTATTGGGAAAACGCGATTTAGTACGAAGGAGTGCAAAAACAAATTTACAGCGTTGCCGATGTGGTGCACTAATCACCATAACTTTTCTTGTTACGCCGTTTAATTGTAAGTTAAAATTGTTTGGGTTACTGAACTCTTATAAGCATCTAAAAATCCATTTAGATTACTCCAGATGCATATGTTATTATTATTCCCTTAAAAACTATCTCGTGAAATGTGACAACTTAGCCTCCTGCAATGTTAGTAAACAAACGAGATGATGGCACGCATAGATAAGCATCAAGGCATCTCTATCTTTATTTCTTACTCTGAGATAAATTCAATGACTCAAGTTAAGTACGATTTCCCAAGTAAACAAAACTTCCAAAGGTGACTGGACAGCAACTCATTTTTGATCGCATAGTAGGTACTTAAACCTCTCGCCAAGAAAGATTGCCGGTCACAGAACACTTGATCCCGGTCTACAATCTATGTTTTTCTAAAGATGTGAGCGACTTCCGGGATAGTATCGTGTCAATGTTGAACAAAAAGACTTTCCGTTCAACATTGGCACGATCATATTCCGAAAGTCGCTCGCATCTTAAGAAAAACATAGATTGTAGATCGACATAAGGTGTGCTGTGACCAGCAATCTTTCCTGGCGAGAGTTATAGCTACGAATTAATATGTGTTTGTGTATTGTGTAGGGCCATGGTAAGGCGTAGCAAATCCTGAAAATATGAGTCTGTCGGCCGTCGAACATTTTAACTCGTCGCCCTCGAGAATATAAACATCACTTTTATACCTCTAATACATAAATAACTTTGGACGTCCTTCTTGTAGAAAATAAATTTTATTCTCTACGACACTGGTAAAAATTTGACTGTGCCAAAAAAAGCACAAATTAACTGTCTTTAACCTTTTTACTGGTTGCCATTTAATGTAGATCTAATAACACCCAGTAAACACAAGAGAGACAGTTTTGATTGACAAACTTGTTTTTTAATCGTCTAACCACTAACCGCTCCAAATATATTCGCAATGAACGTTTTATACCTGAGACCTCAACGCTTTCGGGGTAATAATTTGTTTAAATGAGAGCACGTTAATCCGAACCGAATTTGTTCGCTCACGCTTTAAGAGGCAACACTGAGCAGTATTCACGGTTGAAAATTATATCAGTAGACCGCTCGACTCCGCTACGCAATTAAGTTGCTCTTTTTGTATAAACTAGTCTTTGACGAAAAGTATATAAAATAAAATTTATATAAAAATCGCCGTGTTTGCGTTACGTAGATTTTTCTCGAAGAATCCAATACGCGATCAGAAAATGCAGCGCTCGACCTGCATAGATTCGTTTCGAAAGTTTGGCTAAGAATGCCTTTCACCTACCAAATTTTTACATATGAACCCGACGAGTTCGAATGATAAAATGAGGTAAACGAAACCCAAACGTTCACTACAATTTTTATACCGGGTGGTGCCTAGCGCGACGCAGCATAGGGATTTCAATGGTAATTTCTTTGTAGTCAAATACTAGCTCCCCTAATTATTTTAGAGCAAAAGTCTAAATATGTTTCTTTTAGAGAAAAAAATACTGCATCTGTTCATACTATTAATTATAATTTTCAGTTTTTCAAAACCGTAGAAATCGACAAAATAAAAAGGTTCATTTTACAATAAATCAAATATGCCTTGGAATTTCCTAAAAAAACAGCGATCACGTTTCATTATTTGCCTTTGACGTATATTAAATTTATACTTGTTTATAAATTAGTTAAAGAACTGCAAGTGCATTCAAAATGTCCCTCAAAACCATCAGGAAAATGACAATACATTCAACGTTTTGACTGCAGTAGCGGAAAATCCGAATATAAGTTTAAGCAAAGAGTATACCCATAATTTACTCTTTGGTTTAAGAACAAATCTTCAAATCAGTTTTTTTCCTCGATTATGTAGGTACCTACTCTGGTTCGGAAAATGATAAACAAATAGGATCTGATGCAGATGCAGCATACATTATCTAAAAAAACATTACCCTAAGATGCCTTTTATTGCATGGGTTAGTTGAAACAGAATTAAATATGAAAATCGTTCGACGTCAAACAACGATAACTTAGATGCGACGCGCTTCTAGTTTGTTGAAAGATTCCAAAGCATCACTGATTTATAAAAATGTAATTTTTTATTTTCTCGATTTCTACGGTTTTGAAAAATGGAAAATTATAAGTAATAGTATGAACAGATGCAGTATTTTTTTCTCTAAAAAAAAGTATTTAGACTTTTGCTCTAAAATAATTAGGGGAGCTAGTAATTGACTATAAATAAATTACCATTGAAATCCCTATGCTGTGTTGCGCTAGGCACCACCCTGTATATGTGAAGGTATAGCAGAAATGCGGTCCTTCATTTTCCGTTAGGACAATTTTTAAAACCGGCAACACTGTACCATTTTCACTCTTATATGCTTGAACACTCGTATCTTAACGCGCTTTATTTTCTCGAATATTAGTTCCATTCTCTTTCCGCATGAAGCGGTACACGTATCAAATTTCTAAAGTCCCTAGATTGGTACCAATCTAGGGACTTTACAAATTTCCTATATCGGCAAATTTGTAAATTTAACAAAAAAATCTTTAAAGCCTAAAGCGATCACCTGTTACAAGTTTGAGCACCGTTCGATCAGATTATTTTGTTTAATCCCCATTCCTTTTGGTATGGATTGCAGTGATTGCACATGGAAAAAGGGGTTAATTTGCAAAATGTATATTAAGGAATAAACCTAATTATCTCCAATGATACCTATTTAATTTGTCTTGTCTATGGTGCGACTTCAAATAAAAGAACTGGTAGACTAAAATCACTTAAAATTCTACAAAACACAACGTAAAATCTAAGACCCAACATCTAGGACGTCCGAGTCTGCGAGAGGATGAGTGATATTAATTAGTGCATTACCGTAAAAGACTCACCACAGTACCTACTGAGTTAAGATAGGTGTAATGTATAATTAATACTTACTGCAATGACCTTTTTATAAAGTACATAGGTAGAAACAAAGGGTATATAACGTATACTCTTTGGTAGAAATACTCACTTTCAGAATGAAATTGTTAGAAATCGTGATTTTAATTATAACTCTTAATTTGATGCGCTGTCTAGGTAGGTATAGCTACGTATAATTATGCGGTTAATTTGAATTCTGACAGGCAATTAGTCATTAAACTTGGTATTAAGGAATACATTGATCTCGTTCCACACAATTTGTCCTGGTAGTGCCAGTGTTGTAATATTGACGTTTATGTTTTTGGCAGATTTATGACATCATATGATTACTGCATAGTCCTTCCTGTTTTATAGGTATAAATGGAAGATTGATGTGCCAGTTCTCATGTTGCAGTAGATAACTACTACCACCCCTTTACTGTTCTCCATTTAAATCGGGGAATCGTCTTAATAGAGAAAGCAGAGTGTGAATGCAAAAAGCGCGGACGTCAAGAATAAAAATGATAGACGTTATATTGATCAACCAATCCCCATAGCAATGCTTCATGTTTACCTGCTCTCAGTCCGAAACGGTAATTTGGAGTGCATTCGCAAAAATTTACGTTACTTGCAATGACGGCCAGTTGATAAATATTGTGCAAAATTTCACCATGGATTCAGATCAACAAGAAATTCGCATTAAAGGTAGATAAATTATTAAATCTAAGACGTTGACATTAATTGTCAAACCTTTCATTTCATTCTTTTCTTCTGCGCCCTTATCGGAATTTAATAACAGAAACGGAATATGGGTTGGTTAAATCACTGCAACAACTATTTTTCCCAATAACCAGTGCTCCTAAAATTAGTAGTTCACCAGGTGGATATCTAATGAATTTGGTTTTAAAACAAAATCTCTTTGAGGACGACGAGGAAAACGCGGACGAATTATGTTTAATGAAAAAAGATTCCAAAGATCTTTTCGCCGTTATTAAGGAACCTAGCTCCACAATCCAACCGGCAAGGTGGCCGGCCGAATGTCAGGTACGACCTATACACATGTTCTACGACTTCCAAAACGCACATAACGCCGATTTAGGTTTTAGATGAAAAAGTGCGGCATATATACTATGTTCCGTCCGTACCGGAACCGTATTATTTGCCGAATGGAAGAGAAGTGCAACCGAAACCGGTTGGAGAGGAGCTTGGTATGATCGTGTACCAGTATTATCCGATTAGCGCCGTGAATTACGTAAGTTTATCTACCCAATCGTCGTCCTGGCAACATTTTCTTCTTCTAGTTTTGTAGATCAAGCGTCAATGGTAGCCGATATTTGCTCGAAACTTGCCCAACGCCAGAGGAAGAGTCGCTTAAATTCGAATCGAGATTTGAAAGCGGAAATTTAGCCAAAGCAATCAAAATAACTGCCATATATTATGAACTATATCTTAGAACTGATCTTTATACAAATAAGCATATGCAGTGGTTTTATTTTAAAGTTACCCACATGAAGAAGGGAATTGTTTATAGGTAAGTTACTATTTTACGAATTTTAAAAACTCTAGTCATTGCACTATGGCGTACACGGCATCCAGGTTGCCTAATTTCCCTCCCCCCTCCACATTTTTTCTATTCTCCTAGGTGTACTTTTACATAGTGAATAGATCTGCCACTGATACAACTGACTTTGCTCAATACACAATTCATTTTTTAAGTGTTTTCAATTCGATCTTGAAAGAAGCATCTTTAGTTATTTCAAAAAAACTGATACAAACGACGAAGTTATGTCTGCACATGCGCAAACTATTTTTTTGACACGTGATTTGAATCTTCCTCGGCTTAAGTTTCAGAAGAATAGGGTCACACATAAAATATCTAAGTTTGTGCATACGGAATTTTTTCTACATTTTAGGCTTTCTTGCTGTGCGTTTAATTTTTTTGTTAGAAATCGCAGTGGCTTAAAAATCCGTCCATAAATAAGAAAGTTGCATCTGCGCATTCGCAATTCACTTAACACGTGCGACATGCACATAATTTATTTATTTATTTATTTATTTATTTATTTATTTATTTATTTATTTATTTATTTATTTATTTATTTATTTATTTATTTATTTATTTTTATTTATTTATTTATTTATTTATTTATTTATTTATTTATTTATTTATTTATTTATTTATTTATTTATTTATTTATTTATTTATTTATTTATGTGAGAGTGTAATAAACTTTTTACTATAATATAACTTTTTCGTAAGTGGAACAGAAACATTTCTTCCTTTGTGCATGTTTCGACACCATATCCACCCAAATAGAAAAAATTAGGGTCATATCTCTTAAGATAAAGATCTAGTAGTCACACAGACGTAGGGACGGATCCCGGGGCGGACAAAGTGACAACAATAGCAATTTTTTTATTTTTATACCATGTCGATGGCTATACCTAGAATAAATATCGACGGTTGCGTTGGTTACCATTGTGTCAACCAATGGGATACATGTTGCTATGGCAGTTACTCCAAGGATGTCTTATTCTGCGTAAAGGTGTAATTGTAGAATCGGTCCTAAAAGGAATTAATATAAACGACAACCAACTGGGAAAACTGCGACGCAAATACCTATACTACGACTCGGACTACAATATACTACAATGAAGCAAACTACACTGAGAGAAATAATATAATGAAAGTGTCTACCTGAAAATATTTTAATTACAATAAATGTCTTTTTATTTGCCTCAATTAGTTATCAATTTATGACAATAATCTCATATACTGTGCTAAGTAAAATCGATTTTCTAGAAGTGGTGGATAAGGGCAATTAGACATATTTGCTAAACGCTTGTAGATTTTCATAGGTAGAATAACAGCAGATAGCGTTTTCGCTGCAGTTATAAAACTGTTGCATTGAATTGGATATTCTTGCTTAATTACGTTTTTGTAACTGCCATAAACGTTTAGTTTAGTTGGCGTTATGAAATACTAATTTATGGCGAGTAAACATCTACTTGTAGCAATCGTCTTCAGAAGCCGTTTTCGTTCGTTTTTTGACGACCATAAAAGCAGTAGGTATATAGCAATTTCTTAATATACGCATGCAGGTACATTGTGCTGTGCGGGTGTAAGTTTTATTCGGTTTTATTATATTGTACCTAGTGTACCAAGAGCTGAAATTTAAGCCATACCTACCCCAAAATGAGCGAATTTAAGTCATTACTTATTAAATGGGGGCTTGATGTATATTTCGACTATTTCTTAGGTATGTAGAAAGAGTTATATTTTTGCTACTATTGCTGTCTACCGAAATTATTTTTTAAGTTTTTAAGCTACTGAGACCCAGTTGCACCAAAAAAATTAAGCCTTGCTTAAAGTTAAGTCGAACTTAAAATCTATGGCAACGATTATTAAGACAATCGTTGCTATGGTATTTTATTTTAAGTTATGCTAAACTTTAAGGGATACTTAATTTTGACGGTGCAATTGGCCCTCACTGATGAAAATTGTTCAAATTTTATGTCGTGATGTGTTCAAGGTGGAACGTACAGACACGACCGAGTATATTATGCTTTCAGATATTGTTTAACAAGATGTACTGTAGTAAGTCAATTAAAAACCATTCTAATTTAACTACGTTTCTACAACACCTCACTTTGCTACCTACAGTTATTTTGCGGTTAAATCTTCCTAAATATATTATATCCTTACAACAATTTAGTGTACTATTTAAGGTTATTTAACGTACACTTATTCTAATTAAACTGTTTAATAAATTTAATAAATGCCTTTAATTGTCTCTAAAGAAAGTTTATGTCTGTTGCCAGGTTTTCAAATACCTACGGTAATTGATGTAATTACAAATAAAATTAAAATTTGACTGTAATCAAACAGGTACAGAAAACTCTGTTTAATTATCGTGAATAACAAGTTGTATAGTCACATATAGTATTAAATTTTTTTTATTACTGCTAACAGATTTTTCTCTCAGTGTATACTAGTACGTGGGACCTAACTTTCACACTTTTACCTTCTAGACTAGCTTAGTTAAAAACGGGTTAAGAATAGGAAAGAATTCAATTGATTCTTCTTCCACTATAATCTCATTAATAATCATCACTTCGTAATTAAAATGCGGAAATGCTAACTCAAACTTATTAGCAGAATACTTAGAAATTTGAATACCCTAGCATATTTCGAAAGATTATGCAACTGTCATATCGGTGTGTCTTTGAAATATTTTTACTTCCTTTGTAAAGAAAACTTATAATTGTTATCTGAAATAGAATATACTTATTATGAGTAGGCACGAAAATCAAACAAATTCCTACATAAAAATACAAAAACCTAATAGTTAAACTGAACTAAAAGTATTTCTGCTGGCCAGATAATTTAACCTACCCTAGTAAACAATGTATCGATTAATTTTAAATAATCAAATTCAAATCATTAATTGAATAAATTCTATAATACGTACGAAACTTTAATCAATTCCGTTTATTTACTGCTAACTCGATTAAGATGCAAGAAATAAAGATAACAGTTCGTACTTTTTTGTCCTTTCCGGATATAATTGTCTCCTATTCTCGGATTTTCGTTGTGAAAAAACCAACACCTTCAGATATGGGTTCGATGAACTGCATCTCTCACTTCTTTAATGGAATGCACGGTGATGGAATATGGGTTTTCGAAAACCCCACCAAATGCTTGGATTCTCGTACCGTGTATCCTAGGCTTCAATCACAAACAAGACGCTAGTTTTTTAAATAAAAAAACCTCAAGTAAAAACATTAAACAATATGCGCTGAAATGAATAAATAATGCGCCGCTTTTCTTTGGGCACCATTCTAAATGGAAAGTTTTTTTGTTTATCGTGAAATCAATTTATTACTTCACGATAAGTAATAAAAAATAAAATGTGAGCGACCAATTTTTCACTCGCATTGAGAACACGTAGGATAACTTTAATTATTAATATTTATCACAGAAGAGCAATTATTAAAAAAATTTACTTAATTTTACCTTTAAACGTGACGTGCCAGTCTCTCTTCACGTACTACTGTTCGGATACATTTTTCAATTCTTCGTCACCTTAATTCTATACCTTATCTCACATTCCATTCTAAAGTTGTCTCTCTAAAGATATAATATGAATTTCCACAACGTACATATTTGATATTACTTTCCAATTAGGAGTAAAAAGGCAATCAAAATTATATTGCAAATACGCAGATCACCCATTACCTACGTACACACTTGACACATACTAACCTATTTCGAGACTCATTACAAATTCCGTTTTGTTTTTGAATTGATTGGGAAAATGTCTATTGCTGTGAGTTTCAACCCCCTAACGTCTCTGTTTTCTTCATACCACTTGACGTGGTGACAGGCTTTTCTTTTTTAAATTTGTTCTACTCTGGCATCAGTAGCCATCAACCTTCGTTTTACTGGCACGTAGTACGTCATCAAAACGGATAGGTACCAAAAAAAAAACAAGAAAATCTTTGCTGACGACTTTGCGTTAGATTACACAATCACCGTGTAGGGGAAGAGATGTGAGTCTTGTAATGAATGTATTCATATTTTAAGTAATGGATTAAAATTAAGACCACACGGTCATTTAAAATCTTAGCGAGAAAGAATTATAAGTTCCTTTCAAGACGGTTTTTCAATTAAGAACACTCGTCTACGTCGAGGTCCGTATTTATACATAATTATGCACCGGCATGTTATCCGTAATGGGTGTTACGTTCTAATTTTAGTACAACGGGACCTATATAACACCAACTTTTCTGGATAAAAAAATACACCTTGCTAATCATTTAAAATGAGGTTCATGTTTGAAATCGTATTTGATTTTAGATTTTCTATAGTAAATATGACTAAAGACGAAAGTCTTTACAACGATGGCATGAAACCACTATTGTATTCAACGAAGGATGCACAGTTGCATAACGTCGGCTGGAGAAGATGCGGTGATAACATCACGTACTTTTGTAACGAAAATGTGTAAGTTCTTTCAAGGTGTGTGTATTAAGAAAAAAAGGCGCTTTACAGTGGACCTGAGGATCCGGACCAAGTGATGACTTATTCCTTAACTTTTACCCTGGAATTCCCTCACGATGACGATGAGGTTTATCTTGCATATTGCTATCCTTACACTTACACTGATCTTCAAGATTACCTATTAGATCTTTCAAAACACCCCGTAAAGTCGACGTACACATCCTTGCGTTTGCTCTGCAAAACGTTAGCGGGGAATAATCTGTATTACGTGACGGTGACCGCGCCACAAGACAACAGCGAAATTAAGGTACAGTATCAAAAGGGTTAAACCAAAGTAACGCGTTTCTTAGAGGAAGAAAGCCATAGTGGTGACGGCTCGAGTGCATCCCGGTGAAACTCCCGCCTCGTGGATGATGAAGGGATTTTTAGACTTTCTGACGGGAGATTCCGGTCCCGCCAAGGAGCTACGCGAAAAATTTATCTTTAAATTGGTGCCAATGCTAAATCCTGACGGAGTAATCGTGGGAAACACACGGTGTTCTTTGACCGGCAAGGATTTAAATCGACAATACCGTACCGTAATAAGAGAGACGTACCCTTCCATCTGGTACACCAAGCTATTAATAAAAAGGTAAACTCTCCCCATCATCGTCTCCCTAACTCTTCCTTTCAGAATGCTAGAAGAATGCGGGGTAGCGATGTATTGCGATCTGCACGCACATTCGCGGAAGCACAACATCTTTATTTATGGCTGCGAGAACCGACGAGGTCTCGACAGACGTTTGGGTGAACAAGTTTTTCCTTTAATGCTGCACAAAAACTCCGCCGACAAGGCAAGCACTCTAAATGAATTTCCTACGTTTAATTTCCCTTGTTTTAGTTTTCCTTTGAGAGTTGCAAGTTTCGCATCCAAAGGTGTAAGGAAGGTACCGGGCGTGTCGTAATGTGGATGATGGGTATACCCAACAGCTTTACAATGGAAGCATCATTTGCGGGATCTAGAATCGGTAATCGTGCAGAAACGCATTTCACAGTCCAAGACTATGAGCTGATGGGTCGTTCATTTTGCCAAACTCTTCTCGACTTTTATGATGACGATCCAAGAAAGGTAGTATCTGCACCGGCGCCTGTTTACATGTCAATACCTCTTGCGGGATTGCTATGCCTTTTCGTTTACTTGATTCAATTTTTCATTTATAAACAATTTCCAAGTACTCAATAAACGTTGAAGATCATTTTGATTTCATTTTTTCTGCCTCTAGGAACGATTAAGAACGAAAATTGTAGAGAGATTACTTAAAAAGGGATCGAATGCTGACGAACCTACAAATATACCGTTATCAGATTATTCCAGGTAGAAGAGACCTTGTGGTTTGACTTTGTGCATCTCGTTCTGTTCCAGCGATGAGGGTGACACCAGTGATAGCAGTTCAGATGAAGTCGGAAGAGAGGATTTTACCACACCTCTTACCGTACCTCCTCCATCGCCAATTGTAATATCAAAGAGAACCGTTAAAACTGCTCAACCAAAAATTAAGCGTCGAGTGCATAAAGAATCCCGAAAACCTCTACCTGTAGTATGCGGCGATCTGCAATGGGTATTTTGACTGACTTAATTTTTAGATGTACAGAACAAACATAGATGTAGCACTGCCCCCAGAAAAGAAAAATTACTTTTCGTCTTCCAATTCCACTTCTGACTCAGAGGATCTGTATTACAATAAGAAAATCGTTCAGAAGCGTCGGGTCAAGAAGCGTACACGTAAGAAGTTCCAGGTGAGACTGAAGTAGCCTTACTGAAATTGGTGTAACGGGCAGTTACAAATTGAATTTGATAATATCAGAACGTAAAACTTTTATACTAACGGCTAGCTCATCTCGTCTTTATTGCAAATTTCACCAAAGGAGAATGGATCTCACATATACCTTTTTCCTAAAATGGTCAAACGGTATTTTTTAAATCCTTACGTATATTAAAAACATGATCCATAAAAAAATATGCTTTCTTCTACAAACTTCCACATTAAAAGTAAAATTCAATAAAACCAGTACTAACGCTGCACGATCTTTGATTAAGTGACCACTTTCCCCTTTCTTTAAAATTAAATTACTATCCCCCTGATTTAAATAATGAAAACGAGTTTCACCATTTTTCATAAACAGTGCATAACCATAATACCTAATTTTTTTTAACTCAGCTAGAAAATTCTCATTAATTAAATTTGTATTTAAATGAAAAGAAAAACTTTTCCTACAAGCGGGGTTAATACTAAATAAGTCCAGAGAAAAATCATATACAGTGTATAGCCTCCTTCTGTTGTAAAAATATCGTCCGAATCCTTAAGGGTTCTTTTGTTAATACTTGATTGGCAATGAAATTTAAACAAAAGTTAGAGACTGTTAAGGACTCAGTTGGATTTGAATGAACAATAAAACAACAAAATCTTCTTCTTATTCGTTATCATTACGTTTTACGCTCTTCCGGTATTCTCATTCATTCATCCAATTTTTGACTTCTGTTTTAATTTGTTAGTTAAAATTTTAGAAAGAACAAACACAAAAATATTTCAATAACGTAATCGAAAGTAATTTGTAACTAAATTTCAGCCGAGTTTTGTAAAAGATGAACTAACTGAAGACAAATCACCTTGTCGGAGCTTGTCGGTATTAGATTTACTTCCTGTTGGTAAACTTCGAGCCAACCAGAAACATCACTCGACTTACCTACAACCATCTAAGTATTTCTCTAAAATAAAACGTAGGATTATAAATGCGAGTTTCTAGGCATCCAGTCGAATCCAGACATTCTCGAAGTGTTTCACGACAATTGATAGAAGTGCAATACAAGCTAACATCTTTAAAAAATCGCTTGTGGCTGGGTATGAACGATGGCGACACTTCCCTACCGCTGTCTTGGGGAATTTCCAAAATTTCAGAGCTCGATAGATCCAGCTCTAAGAGGTGAAAAAGTTGCACAGTTTTGACCTTTTTTTACCTCTACATTGTAGATTGTCAAATAATAGAGCGGCATCGAAAAGTGCGTCCAAACCAGATAAGCTCGAAAAGAAGGACGAAAAGTCCGCAAAACCAGAAGTTGAAAAGGTCGCCAAGAAAAAACAAAATGGGTATAATATTATCACTTTACAATTAGCTACAAATAGTGAGGCTAGGATTTGTAAATATAATGTATACAAAGAAAGGAAATATTTTAATTTATCGTACTTCTATAGGTTGAGAAGACAAACAGCTCTAGGATGGTTTTCACCAAGAGACCATAGCAAAGTACGCAAGTCGAAAAGTTTACCGGATACTGCCAGTCAAAAATCAAATGATGTCGATATTCGTGGCTGTGATGATAATAACGCCAAAAAAGAAAAATCAAAGAAGAAACACAAAAAGCATAAATTGCACAAAAAATCTTCCGCAATCAAGAACGCCAATATATTCATTAAAAGAAGTCTGATTTAATCATATCATTATAGTGTTCAGATCTTTACACATTTTATTTATAAGTAATACAATATATTGTTTATCATTACATCATAAATATAGTGTTTGTCATTGTGCCTTAGAGGATCATCACTAAAAATAAATTTGCAACATTTAGTTTTTGTATGCTTTGTAGTTGCTGTAAGGCGTTGGGAGTCTCCAAAAACTTGGTATTACAAGTTCAGAAAGAAGGAAAGGAAATTTAAAGGGGATTGAAAGAGAATTTTACCAAACCATAAGCACCTCAGAAGTTTCATTTCGTAAAAATCCAATATGGCGCCCATAAGAAATAAAAAAAAAGCTGTAGCAAATTATTTTAAAGCCAAGCTGCTTTAAGGGTCTATTAATTTGAAGCCGGTTCTGTTGTCGATTACTGCGCACACTCGCCGACGGCCTGCGAAAGGTTCAATTGGAGTAAATTTTCTGCAACAACACTCTCTCGGTTTGTACTATATACATTATATATTTATATACAACTCTGTGACAACACCCTATACACAAATGTCATACTTAAAAATTTGCCTGATGTTGGTACGCCTGCTGTCGATCCTAACCTAACCTCAATTAAATCAATACAGTAGAGAGGAGTAAAAACCAAAGGGTTGATTCTTTTGTATTTGTAATATGAATTCTGATGAACTACCAGAGCTGAGGTATATTCATGAAAAAGAATCCGACACAGAAGTAACTTTAAGAATTATTTTTGACGCTGTCATAAGCGGAATCACTTTAGAAGTTAATCGTAAGCACTTGGAATCAATTATTAATAAGGAACTGAATATTGAGACAAATGAATTAGATATAAGACTGACTAAAGTGTTGTGCGAAGCTGTAGTTTATTATGTCGGTATATGGACAGATTGGGAGCATCGTAATCAACACCACGATGTTTGGTTTAAACGTTTTTGTGAATACCTCACGGTTAAAACTAACTACATCATAAAAAATTCCACAGAGTTTATTGAAGACAATGGTGATGTTGTGGAAAAAGAGACGCAAACGAATAAGATTGATAGGCAAAAGGAACTTGCGCCATATAATATTGTGGTTGGTGGACCTCCAGCAGTTTTAAATAATCTTATATTTACAATGTACAATGGTAAAGCCAGACCATGCGAACAGTGTACCGTTTCATATTTTTGTTTTGTAGGAAGTATCGTAATAAAACAGCATATACCGAAGCCGTGGAAAGATTTAAAATTACCTCAATTCTTAAACTGGCCGTATGTTACCACAGAAGTGAAACTACCCGATATTTCAATAACGAGGGCCAATCAACACCAAATAAGCCGTTTCATAGCTTTAGAAGGGATCCCGCTAATGCGTCCGCACTTCGATCGTATCAATCACATTACTCGGATACCCGAGAAAGCCGAAAATGAGTTTAAGCCTTACTCGTATTCGTACTTTTCACACTACTTTGGTCAGCTAAATGCGATCTTACAAACATTACCACATGTACGATTTCTATTTTGTCGGGTTAACGTTAAAATACACTGTTGCAGGGTAATAGGCAACGTTTAGTCGAGCTGGCTGCGATATTTACGGAATTCTTAAAAGACATCAAAGAGATGAAGCTTTATAAGTCGACGATGTCACCATATGTAACTGTAGGTTTTAATATTGGAAAGTGCCGATATATTCGTAGTAAAAAAATGGTTAATTCTGCTGCACAGTATGTACAATCGTCTGCATGTGTGAAGGTAGCCAGTACTGAGTAATATCCTTAATTAAGAAAATAATTCTGCTAGAAGGGTGTCCAACGACAAGTGAGTTGATATCTGGGAAACTTTAGATCTCGGCACTGGGACCTGGTAGATGGATGCGGTTTTTTTTTATTTAGTAGATTTCAACAGATACTTACGGTGGGTCAAAAGCAAAGTTTCCAATTTCAGATGCTTTACGTAAGCGTCTATGTAGATAACTTGAAGCTGTTTCTTACTATTTGGTGAATTTGTCAACCTCAAATTTGATACTGTCCTCATAGGAATACCAGTTCGTAAGTTGAGGGACCCTGACAGTTAGGTACTGTTTGTCTCCATGGACGTTTCACTTCAAACCAAATGTATTTAGGATCCGACAGTGAAGCGCGTGCGTAATATCTAGCACATCCTGACTAATTTTATTGACAAAGGTGGCTACTCTGCCCCTCTTTTTCTTTCGTAAATGCGCCTCGATAACCACAGTCTAGTAACTAAATTGTCCCTACGATCCTACCTAATCATTACCAACCTAGCTAAATTTTAATACATTGCTGTGTGACCCACACAAAAATACTGAAATGAAAACGCCATGTGTAACACTAAAAAAATAAATGAGACCTATCCCACTATTAGTTACTGAAAAGGACTTCTACAGGCCACAAATATTAGATTTACAAACAATTTTTAAAACACAATTGGCTTCCTCAAATTACAAGAGACTCTAAATTCACTACATTCGTAAACACACGTGACAAAACTTTACATTTTTACACAGGTGACCAGTTTTGCAATGGGCGGCTACCTGCGACTGTTTTTATACTAGACGACGTCTACCGGAATTATTTTCTTAATTAAGGATATTACTCAGACAGTACTACTGTTCTGGTTATCATGTTCCTACTGGTTACATTCACGCACGCCAATTGTCTTTTTAATAATAATGATTACCTTTTTTTTTCAGACACACGCATACTCCTATAAACTATTTTGAAATTATAACCCCTTCGGTGGATGTTTCCTTAAATTATTTCAAGGCAAAACAAGATTGTGAGGATACGAGCCGAGTAAGCTTCAAAAGCTTAAATTTTCTGGCGGAAAAGTTATTAGATCCCTCCAATTCAGATATTGCGGAACTGACTTTTTTTATAAACAATTCTAGTGTCACCTTTAAATGTAATTTGTGCAACGAGAGTTTTTCCGGTGCCGACGCGTATAACTCAGCCACGAAGCATTTTCAACAGCTGCACGAAGGTGAACAGTTAGTATTATGTTTAAAGTGTGGAAAACAGTATGAAGTTCATGTTTTGTGTAATCAGCGATGGTTTCATAGATGTACAAGGCATTATTAAAATTCCCTTTAATTTAGTAAAGGCGTGTGTGTATAGGCAGCTGCTGTGCCAGAAGAAATGAATTGTTTTGAGGAAGCAACAGGGAGATTATATGTAGTATTTATTTTAATATAACCAGTGCAAAATATAAGAGATTCAATCCTACTTGTACTTGCTCCTTTTTTTGTATTACATAAACCAAAAGGGGGAAAAACGAAAAACGTTTGCTAGCAGAAATGTCACAAGCTAGGTTACTATAGATGTCACCAAAAATGCTATCGTAGCAAATCTTAGACCATATAGTACATGGACTGCTAATTGTAACTAAAATATGGTCAAGGACATCGCCTGGGTATGTGAGTTTCAGGGTAAACGAGATTTGAGACTGTCAACCTATAAATTAACAAACGTCAATTAATGAATCGCCTAGATATCCCAAAAAAAGCAAACTTATTCTTATTTGTGGACGTATAGCAAATAATGAAGAGTATTTAAAGCTTCCCGTAATACGCAGTTACTATAAAGCTGCTCTTTAAGCGATCCTAGTGGTGTTTACACGACTTTAGTTTACCCTGAGATTCACATACCCACGACTACAGTGCCCTCTATCCGTGACCATCCATTTTGTATTGAAAGCATAGGGCGAATAGCAGTCCATGTACTGTATGGTCTAAGTAGCAAACACTAGAATATGTTAGGCGTGTTCATACGGACGCGATATACAATGAGCTATATATTGTAGGAGATACGCGATATGGAGGAGGCGATAAATAAGGTTTGCAGTCGTGCGATATTGTCAACTGTATGTGTACCTCCGTAGCAATATATTGGTGCAACATATGACCTCGGTATGAAAGTTACCTTAGGAGAAATGTATGCTAAAATAATAGAACATTCGCCTTCCCAGCTTCACATCGCACCACGCCCACTCCTGACGACAGTGCTTGCCGTGCACACTTGGGCGGTTTAATATGCTAACAATACGGAGTTACCCTATAAAAGTGTACGAAATGGGTTATCCTGTATATATAAATAGTTATCCTAATTTTTTTCTATTCATCAGGTTACTGATCAGTTTTGTAATCTGTACTTCATTAAAATGTATTTGGGAAACTTGCAAAAATAAATTTGAGGGGAAGCTTGTGATGGAACCGTATTAGCCTGCTAAAATTCGATTTAAATATTCCCGAAACCGACCTTGGCGTGACGAAAAAAGTCAAGATTGCGCTGTGTTTCGTTTCTGTGGAACACGTGTTTTTTTCTTCTCTGCTCTACATTGAAATGGGCCATAATTTACAATAAAAGTGTCAAATATAACGCTATGCGAGGGAACTTAATGATCTGTATGGACCCGACGTCTCGGAGCACGGTCGTTATTAATAATTTTCGTCTAGGATTTGTTTAAAAAGGGACATTGCCGCAGAGGTATTTGTGCTTTTGTTGAGAGCAGAAGTAAATTTTCACGTTTCGAATAGTGAGTGCAGCTTCGACAATTACAAAGGTGATGTACTCGTTTTTTTTTCTCTACGTCTATTGCATCCATCTAATAAATAATAATGATATGATTGTGTTCCATTATTTGCCAATTTAATGGTATTCTCGTACAGCAGGATTATTGCCATTTATAACACATTCTAAATACAACTTGCACTTTTAATTATACTGGTCATACTTTGAATTAAATGCATAGAGATTCTACATAAATATCTTGTTGTCCAATTTACAGTACTCCTTTGTTCCAAACGCTGGCAGCATGAATTACTGACCGATTTACGTGTTTTATTTATATTTAGATACAATATGCTTCCTTAGGGGCGATATCCAATACCAGTATGCAGAACTACATTTTAATTTATAATTGAATTTATTGCAGCACATTTCGCTTTTGTTTGTCTGAATATGTTACTGTTTATTTACAGGGTGCTTCATCTGGGGGCGAATGACGTACGTTAGGTGGTTGATTGTTACATATTGCACGTGGCATTGAGAATTAATTACCTTATACTAATGTTTTGCCACGACATGTTTCTTTGTTTTTGTTGTAATGTGATACTATCGTTATGCTCCTACTATTTATTTGAACTGGGTGATTATGATTATTAATATTTGGCAGGGTAACTTGTTTCAAATATGTACTGTGCTATATTTGATACCGATATTTAATATCTCGAGCAGAGGCTGGCTAAAGTTCAGAACTGACATACGCAGAGATATATATTTTATGTACTGTTTTTTGTGTCTTTGAAAGAGCCATCTACCCGATATTGCTAATGAATCTGATTAGTCGATCCCTGACATGTAGTGACCGAATATTGGTTTTGTGTCGGTCTTTGTTATGCCAGTGCAAATATGTCAACGCCTACATAAATTCTGCATATTTTGTTTATGATAATGTATGCGTGCGAGTTTGCCGTTGGTTACTCTGTGATTTTTGTTATGTCATGATTTGTCTTTTGATCAGTTACTGTCAGTACTCATGGTAGAGAGCCTGGAGTTCGGTAATTTATAACTAGTGGGTTGGACTGGCCCTAGAGATGTGTGAATGAAAGAGTTGGGGTCCCGCCTCACTTGCGCAGGGATTCGCTAAAAGCGTGCGGCATGTTCTTGTTGTGACCTTTTGTTTGTGTTATCAATTATCCTTCCTTTGTGGAAGGTTCTTCTGAGAAGCCAACTCCTAGCGATTTCATACAATGTTGACATGTCATGACCAGAGCAACTAAAGACTACTCAGTGTGCGATTTGGATTGGCCATCCAATATCCAAACCTATTATATGAATTTATTGTAATATTTTAATGACTGTTTTTTTTGTTATGTGTGTGAAATATTGATTCTTTAGGAATTCCAGCGGAGTCTGTGATTCAACGTTATTTTAATTTACTTGACAACCATCATCATAATATGCATTTATGCCATTATAGACAACTAATTTTGCTATAAAGTTCAATATTAATTTGTTGGCTGGGTTTTTTCTTGATCAGTTCTTTTTTCCCAGCCTATTGTTATATTTTTACTCGGTGAACTACCATCTTCTAAATTTAACTTGCAATGCGAATTATTTGGATTAAATCTCCATTTTTAAAGCATGTACTTGTTTTATTTGTAATCCTTACTTGATCCTCACTCCGACAGGTAACACATATCTTGTAGCGACTCTTAAAAACACAACGTAGTAAGTTGTCCTATTATTCGGTTATTCAAGTTAGGTAGCTTTGTCTAGACGATCACGTGCCATGGGGTTCAGTTTGTTTGGGAGGGAAAGTTTTGAATTTAAATCTTGAGTTGCGCAGTCTCTCGGGGCTGGCTTGGGTACATCACAAGCCGTTACAAAAAAGGCAATAGAATTCGACAAATAGCATGTCAATGCTCAGTTCAGATGAAATTTAACCTTTCCCCAGCGCCTGAATAATTCCAAACTATATGTAGGACACCTAAAATAAGATTTTATACAAAATACACAGATTGATAATACTTTAGAAGTATGTTTATTAGCACAACGATGTACAAAAGTTGAAAGCCTATAAATAAAATTTTCTCGGTATACCAAAACCGTTAACTTAAACAAATTTTCATGTTGGATTTAAATGGATTAATAATGTGCATATACAGATGACTTAACGAAACAACATTTTCTTGATAAAAATGACAGCAACACTTTTAATTTCTTCTTAAATATTCCCTTTAAATGATTTTGTAATACAAAATAACAACTTACAGATTAAAACACATTTTCCGTTTGGTAAAATGCATCAGTTACCAATAACGTACAGAATATGAACACACACTTTCATAACAAAATCTACCTAACTCGCCATTAACAAATACGTAAACAAAACAAAACACTAGATAGCCACTATAGTAATGTGTATAACAATAGTGTCCAAATTTATATGAATTTACTTCTCTAGAACTTGGTTTCCCTTTTTGTTAAATTAGATCTATAAATAAATACAGTACAACTCACTTTATAAAACAGGTGCTAGTGCAAAACGATAGTCTATCATTCCTTTCGAGGCTTTCTCTTTCTAGGAACGTCACCCTCACCATTCTGATCGGATATTACCTATAAATGAACAGATTAAAATTGCACACTTTTTTTTTGTAATTTACTACCGCATCCTTTTCATCTTCATCGTCATCATCATCTTCATCCTTATCTGAATATTTTTCTTTATCCTCACTGGCCTCATCATCTTCTACACTTTCATCTATTTTATTGGCATTAGACATGCCAGGGGCCGCTAAGTCATCCGGAGAAGGCGCATCAGTCTTCTTTGCTTCAGCTGCACGTTTTAATTCTTCATTTTCCTATGATTACAAGAAAGCTGCATTTCTGTGAGGCTGAAGGTAGTTTGCATAGCAAGTATTTGTAATTGCCTTGATACAGCAAACTACAGCACGATTTTGTAACTAAGCAGTCACACAGAGACTGGCTTAGATTTGTAAGTAGCTTACCGTAGGACTAGCAGACTTTGGTTTGCAGCACAGGTACAAAATAAATACAATAGGAACGCCCAGGACTAAGATGTAGACGATCCATAGGATAGGATAATCGTTGGTCAAATTGGCTAATCTCTGCACTACGCTTTCCTAATAATTGCATACATTACTTAGCTAGCAATAATACAAACATTATTTATCTTAGGAACTAAGCATTTACTGTTAAAAGATAAAAGTAATTTTTGCATCAAGCATACTGAACAATACTATTACAGCTGAGTGAGACAAGAAATATGAAAATACCTGTTTAAGACAAGAACACAAATACCATATGTAACCACTGACTGGTATCAAACAATATATAAAAAAGGCTCCCGTTAGTTTGGGCCGGTAACCAATTGCTTTCATCAAATATCCCCAGAAAGTGCGCTACGTGCAAGTAAAATGAATTGTATATCACTGCTGTAATTGACGATTTTTATTGTAGGTACAACCAAAGATAACACTGGGATTGGTGGATTTCAGATTAGTTCATTTCATTTTGAAATGACAAGAAATTTCATCGAAACAATTTAAAGAAATTACTCGATCTATCACCGAACCACATATTTACCTGTACCACTTTATACAGGTAGACTCAAATTCGAGGGCCACCGTGGGGAAATCGGAAACAGTAAGCGCTAGATAAGTAGTTTAAATTTGGCAAAGTTGCGTATTTTGATGCTTAACAGAATGGCTTTTTAAATAATTTCGGAAAAAAATAAAAACGATTTTGTAAAATTTTGTTTTTGTCTGGACATCTTCGAAAGTAATCGGAATTTTTTCAGCTTCAACACCGCATTTTGTTAAGCATCAAAATACGCGACTTTGCCAAATTTAAACTACCTACCTATCCCCATGGTGGCTCTCGATTTTGAATCAGCCTGTATAGTATACTTATTTTAATGACTATGTATAAATAACATGTCAATGTAACAGTAGGTAGTGTGTGCATTATCTTCAATACAAAGAGGTTGCTTATTAGACGTTATACATTTAAACAAATTATAGATACAGGGAGATCAATAATCACATGCTGCGCCGCTCTTATAAAATATCACATTAGTAACCATTTGCCGCAACCAGGTATATGTGTACCAATACAAAACATAACCTATAATTTTACAAACAATGATTTGTGATTCTTATTACTTTCGTCCCTTTCAAAACGGCTTTTTTCAAGACTACCAGTTTCTTTCGAATATTTACAAGGTGGGTAAATTACTTGCAAATTACAAACAAACGTTTTTTTAGTTGTAGCGTGTAATAGGCAATAGGTTTACTCCGACAAGCCTTTTACTTTAGAAGAGAATAAGATGTGTTTGCTGTCCTGTTTCCGTAATGGTACTAAAGACGAAAGTGGAGTTTGGGAGTACTCGATACGTTTGTGTATACAGGAGTTTCGATAAACGATTGTCAACCATGACGAGGATTACAACAATATACGCCGAAATGCTCATCGTTTACTTGAGCGGTTTAACATACAGGAAGTCTTTCTTCTGGGAAGTCACCTGGCCGCTTAGTGATTGCTAATAAGGAGGTTGTAAAAGATGTTCTTGCTCGTCTTGAGCAAAGTCGGAAAAAGCAGCTGCGACAATTTGTCCCACTAACGGGCATCTCATACGGAACGTGTGACACTATTGCCTGAAGAAAATTGTACTTCTATCCTTTAAAGTAACCGTGTTACAAGAACTCTTCGTCCAGACTTGCAAAGCCGCCTAAATTAGTGCAGGCAAATTTACGAGATGGCAACGTATTCGAAACCGTTTACACACCATTGCCGAATTACGAGCAGGTATAGAAGCTACCGTTTGAAACATTATGCAACTGTAGTTACATTCCGTCTTCGAAAACATGAAGAAAAGAGTGGATCCCTGTCTTAATAATGGTGGCGAGCACTTCGAACAGTTGTTATAGTGTGCATGTAATTTATCCAATTATTTCGATATTAACGAGTTGTAAAAGAAATAAAATCGTTTCCAATTTTTGTAGTAATTTGCTATTCATGTAGTTCCACATAATTTGGAAACTTACAAGGTGGTTAATCGTTGATTTAGGTTAAATATGGTTAAACGTCAAAAGTTTACTTTAAGGTTATGTTTTAGTATTGGTGCACCAGGCCTGTTGCGGCAAATGATTACTAACGTCATAATTTATTGAAGCGGCGCAGCAACTCAATATTGATCGCACTGTATAAGAAATGACTTTTTGACGTTGACGTTTTTTGTGAAACTTTAATACCACAAACAAAATCACTCTAGCTACGTTTCTTTCGGAGAGATAAATACAAGGTGAAAACAAAAAGTTTGACTTTTTTTAATCATATCTTACTACCCATGTAAGATAGAAAACAGGTAAAAACTGTTTTAGATATTTTTACATAGAATTCCGTGGCGTAGTAAAAAATTTTTTCTGCACGTTGGTATTTTTTAAGTGCAACAGCCTGTACATTTTAACTTAATTTTTTTTCATTATTTTTCCTGATTACATTGATGTATCATAAACTACATTTTTTTAAAATTTTAGTCACTAACCAAAAATAAAAACCTTACTTTTTTACCGTACTAGGCCACGGATTTGTGGAGATTTTGTTTTGTTTATTGTATCCATAGCAGCCGAATCAATCAACAAAAATGGCCAACGGTAAAAATGCCACTTCAAAATTTGGAAAAATATTTTGTTATACAGTGTCCCCCCGAATGGACTGAACAAGAGGGAAAAATTTTTTAATTTTAACTTTACGCAAAAATGTCATTCTTTATAAAAAATTTTGCCTGCCTCAAAACCACCTATTCTCAAATAAAAATCTAGATATTCCTTTTAGCAGCCGAGAAAATTACAAAAAAAAACGCAAAATCTACAGCGGACATTTTTCTAAGTTGCATGTTTTTGATTAAATCAGACTATCATTGTATCTTCCATGGCAACCTGATAAGCAAATCAAGTTAAAAAAGACACCTTAGAGCTTAAGAGAAACATTTTATTTTATTCAATGTGGTATCCTCCAACCTCTACACACTTTTCAGCTCTACATACAAATTCTTTATAAACATTGTGGATCTTCATTGACAGAATTTATCGCTTCCGTGATTTTTTGCCATGGAAGATACAATGATAGTCTGATTTAATCAAAAACATGAAACTTAGAACAATTTCCGCTGTAGATTTTGCGTTTTTTTGTAATTTTCTCAGCTGCTAAAAGGAATATCTAGATTTTTATTTCAGAATAGGTGGTTTTGAGGCAAGCAAAAATTTTTATAAAGAATTACATTTTTGCGTAAAGTTAAAATTAAAAATTTTTTCCCTCTTGTTCAGTCCATCCAGGGACACACTGTATACAATACAAACCATGATAGCTCAGTGGATAACAAAACCCAGTTCCCACAGTTTTCAATTAAACATTAGCCCAATCATCATAAATACATACAATTTAGTAATAATGAAAAAGATGTTGTGGTTTACTTTAGAAAATAATGTGTATTATCTCTTCTGTTGTTGAAAACATGATTTCTTTTATCATTTAAGACAATATCAATCACAAATTGAACAAGATACAAAAATCTGCAGAGTATGTTCTTATTAACTTACAGAATCCCGTGCGATCTTTTGACGTTTCTTTTCAAATGTGGCCGCCGCCCAATGCTCAGCAACATAATGGTCGTCGGTAATAATAATATTATCGAAATAAATATCTTTGGACATAGACCATAATTCGAAACCTACAGCGGACTAAAAGGAAGTTGCAAATAGACGTGTGCAAAAAAAAAAATTTACGCTACTTACAACAGTGTGCATCTTAAATGGTTCTTTATCTTCGAAAAATTCTGGATTGGGTATACGTCTCGGCCTCCACTTTCCTTTGTAATTGGGATTATCTATTAGAGGAGCTCTCCACTTTCCTTTGAAGTTAGGATTATTGATGAGGGGAGGTTCCCATTTGCCACAGCCGGTAGCGTCGGCGCAGACGGGATTGTCGATGAGGGGAGGTTCCCAACTGCCGTCCATTTCTGTATCCCAATCGACGGGTTTTTTTGCATTAGGATCAGGAATGTGTGTAGGTTCGTCTTCTAACCAACCGGATGGCATTGTGGCAAACTCATCTATTATCTGCGCGGGTGCGTCTTCGTCCCAGTCTTCAGGTTTGACGGCCTCAGCATCGGGAATTTTCTCTCGTTCGTCCCAATCTTCCGGCCTACTATCTTCTGGATCGTCGATTTCGGAAGGAGGATTTACACTCGGGGTGAAGTCTTCCAATAAACTGCCAGAGTTGATGACGGTTTTATCAACCTTTATTTCAAACGTGTTGTCTGGATTTAGTATGAGAGTGTATAAATGTGGCAATTTGTCGGAAAAGTAATCCTCAAGGCGCTCGGTTGGTTTCTTACAATGTTTTTCTTCAACACTTCCATTGCGAGGATTTTTATGCCTGAATATGAAGTGCAATTTATGATCGTTGCCACACTTATCTGGTCCAAACATTATGGTATATGGAGATTTATCAGTGAACTGCCCTAAGTTCCTTGTATCGGTACCGTCACTTAATAATTTTAAGTATGCGCCCCCACACTCTTGCCCATCTTGCAGAATAACTTCATACTGAACAATCAACGGCTTCGTATTGAAAACGAAAGGTTTAATCAAGGACGATGCAATGGCTGCATGTTTCGCCTTAGATTTTAAAACTAAGCCCATATCACCCACTAACGCATCTTTCAAAGGTGCCTCAAGTTCCCATATACCGTCATATTTTGCTATTTCTTCTGAAATACCGTCCTTTTTCGCTTTGGATTTTATCCATCTTTTAGAAAATTGTGCTGCATCATCGAAATGATCAGCGAGATACACTTTATTTTGATCAATTGGTGTGGGGCTTTCGTAGGGAACGTCTACCGTTGAAGGTTCACTTTCAACTTCTACTGTTGCTTCATCGGCATCCTACAACGAAGACGATTTCTTAGTCAATAAAAAAAGTAGTAGAATTTACTGAAGGTAGGTAAGCGTTTTTTTTTAGTAATTCGCGAAGTGGCCATGAAAGATATATTTAATTTTAAATTTTATTACCATAATAACATAGATATTGACTTTTTATGGCGTTGCGATCAATTTTTAAGCAAATGCCTTAGAAACAAAAGGTAACAATAATTCTCAGATAAACCTAATTGTTTTAGTAGTTGACATTAATTTTTTAAAAATCTATTTAAAACCTAATATACGGCTAGGGCTGGACGATACCATGACTTTTTTGTAGGAAATTTAGTTCCCTACAATTAGACATAAATTTTGTTCGTACCTATTCCGGTTTGCCCGAACGTGCTTTTCGTAAGAAAACTCCATAATATGTTCTCCACTAGTAGACGTGTGATAGACCCAACTTACAATTTTCTTACATTGAATCGACCATGATATTGGTTTAAAAATTATTATTTCACGCAGTAAGTTAAAGTTCCTAGATTTTTGTGCGATTCTTTCGCGCCTTTGATATGTTTTCCTGCACAAATATTGTCATAATATCATAAGTGACGTACACTGATGTCTAAGGATAACCAAATTTGGTTCAAATCGGTTTAGCTGATAATGAGAGTATAGACAGACAGACCGATTGATATCGAGATTTTCTTTGATTCGGATTCCTAGTGCTTCAAAACGTGTATATCCGTAAAAAAAAGTGGGGGTCATTGTTTACCCCAAAGCAATACCTCCCTTATTAACGTGCGGGTGGTAAAAAAGAGACGACAAACGTCTTTTCAACAGATTCAACACCATCAAGGAGGCACGCTGTAATTAAAATAGCCTTCATGAGCTGGAACAGGTAACCCATACAACGTTGCAATAGCATAAATGGATCTGTAGTCTGTTTGCAAGACAAATAAGCTAATTTTAAATCAGTTGTGGATAAGTTATCCAAGTCACCGCAAGAGGTATATATTATAGTAGTAATTAGCTTAGCGAGAGATTCAGTATTCCGCCAAATTCAGTCTAGGGTCAATTATTACACACTTCCGACGTGTGTAAAGCATTGGAGTTGGTCTGATTTAAGTCATTGTTGCTAATAAGCATCGTAGTGTCATCTGCATATTGAATACATTTAGAAAATTTAGGCATACAGTAACGAAAATATCAAGAAAAGGAGTGGGCCTATAACAGAACCTTGTGGCCCTCCTATACCAATTTTTCAAAATAAGAGATTTTCACTATTTACCTTAGTAGATCGAAATCTGTTTGATAGGTATGATGATATGGGATTGCTGCTAACTTTATCAAAGTTGTAGTGATATTTTAATTTATTAATTATATTTCCAGAAATATGTAGGTAATACTAGAAACATTTAAGAAATATGGAACCACTTTCTAAACTTGGGAAATATTTAAGAATTCTCAAATAGAAACTGTTAAGAAAATTGATTTTCTGTTTACATTATATACTATGGTAAATCTTTATAACAAGGGTATTAATTAAGGATAGAACACATCTAGACTACACTGTCGAAGAATGGAACCCATAACACTGATAGTATTACTGTGTTGAATCGCTAAGAATATTCTCTGTATCCAATAGCTTCTTGCTTTGGGATTTATATTTATACATGTATTTTACAATTTAATCTCACTTGCCTCATATCATATACAGGGTGTAGCATCTAAGACGCCTCGGATCATAATTCCTTTACAATAAAAGATACCGAAAAAAGTCTTAGACCAAACTGGTATACAATTAAGGCCAATTCACATTATCGGTCAGATCACGGTCCGGTCAATTATTGTAGCGTGCATTTCTATGAACATGTTCTGACCGTCAAATGTGAATATTCCTATTGAAATAGCATGTTACAATATTTTGAGCGGAGCGTCACAGCGTCACCTGAGCTATAGTATGAATTGGCCTTTACTTTCGCCATATTTCTAAAATATTTTTGATTACCAGGGGCGTGCTGTATTTCAGTGGCGTATCAAACTTGCGTTTTTTTAAATGGAATACCCCATGTTTTATTACTGATTTGGAACGTACCTACTTAAAAATACTAATTTTTTTATGTAACATGTTATACCCTTAAATTTGACGATTTCGCTGTTATACCCTTTTTTTTGTCAAAAGTTGACCATAAGAAAATTTCAGAGAAAAACCAAGTCGAAACGCCAACTTGTAAAAAACAAAAGATGTTCAATTCAGATTGTTTTTTAATCAACGTTGCAAAAATGTTCCATACTCAAGCAGGAATGGTTGATATAGTGTTTATTCTTAGAGAGCGTTACTGGAATTGTTTGCTGGTGTCACGAGTGTACGCTGGGAGATATCCTGGCAGAACAAAGATCTATGCCTGTTTCAAAAGGTGTTGGATAGATTTACAGCCACTGGCAGTGTAAAGCGACCAAGGAGATTTAAACGGACGCCGGTTTTGGCGGAAGATAATGAATTGCAAGTTCTCGGAGCAGCTGTTGTCAATCTCATCGTCATATTAGTGTGCGTGAAATTAGTACTTCCAGTAGTTGTAAATCATTAAGGGCGACTAATGGTGGGTTTACACAGTCATTAGGTCATTAAGAAATAGCCAATAGAAACAAAGGTATGGAAGGGTTGGTTAGTGAGGGACAATAAACGTTTGATTCTATTGGTCATTTCTTAATGATAGTAATGTCTAATATGTATCAACCCACCATACACTGCCGAAAAACTTGCAAAAATTGGAGCTGTTAGTTACCTTATGAACCTTGCATTATGCCTGCTTAAACATTGAATTGCTGAGAGTCCTTATTCGCGGCGGCACAAGGCGTGAATGGTTACAATCAGCTAAAGAAATTGGGTGAAGCCTGATAGTTGTTTATAATAGGGCACCTCTTGGTTTTTGACTTTTTATGAAACTAAGAAAACAATACACTCTCCAGTGGCTGGTTAAGAATTAACCGACTGTCTGCTGTTTACAGTATTAAATCTCTGAAATAGTTATTTATTATACAAGACGATAAAGGGCACCTTCGAGTGAAAGATGTTTCACGAGATGGTCAATTTCCCTTTATTGTCGTGTATTATAGAAAACTTTATTTTATAGCAGAAGCCATACAAATCATTGTAAAGCTTCTGACAATTCTGAATTTAATTTAGAGACGGCAAAAATAGCAAGCTTAGGTTCTGCACCGAGATGGTTTCCATAGAAACAGAATTGTTGTGGTTGACACAATGGTAAGCAACGCAACCGTCGACATTTATTCTAGGTAGTATAGCTTATTCTTGGTATATACCTTCATTCACGATACACTTACACACGGTATGCTCATTATTTTTCTCAAACGCGTTTTCTACTGCGCATTACGTCACCTGCGAACGTGTGGCGCCAAAATTCAAATGTTTATTCACGATCCAGTACACATGTCACGCGTGACAGTTTGCAACTGATCAGTTGTATCTACGAGCTTTAGCGTTAATTTGTTGATATAATTAATCGCTAGTGAAAATTCCAAAATGCCAGGTTGTGTAGTGGTTCAATGGAGCAATTCTAATAGAAAATCAAAAGGAACGGAAATATAATACTTTCGATTTCCAGACATTGAAGACTTTTCTCGAAAATGGATTGTTGCATGTCGTTGTAATGATAAAATTAACTTGAAAAATGGTGTATTTTAGTATTTACATTGCTGTTTAATTTTATAGTCTGTATTTGTTCTGTCCATTTTGAATCCAGCCGTTTTGAAGCACCGCTATGGGAACGACTTCTTAATTACACTTTTAAAAATAGCGGACATTTGAAACCTGATCCTGTACCTACTTTAAAACCACCACGTAATAATGAAAATCAAAATAACAGGAAAACGGAGGAGAGATTAGATCTTTTGATAACGCATTAATTACATAATATTTACTTAAAAAGCCGCACTTCATGTTTAGAGCCTATATTTTTGGTTAGAGTTTATTTCATACGATCGCTAAATCCCAGAAATACCCGACGCGACGATCTCTACACATATCAGTGTGATTTGTCTATCTAAGAAGCGTAATTTTGCTCTATATTCTGTGGTTTTGTTCGCACGTGACGTCACACTAGATGCGCAAGAGCATACCGTTGTAAGTGTATCGTGCCTTCATTGTAGAATCGGCCCTTAGCCTACTCACTCAAACCTGTTAACATGTCAATTTAACAAATGCCATAAAATGAAATATAAAAGTAGATACAAAATCCTTAAGTAATGTTGCAAATAGCTACAACACAAATGAGGTGTACATTTCTTTTTGAAGTGAACCTCTTGTAAAGTTTCACAAAATAAAAAGATTCCTGCAAAAGTAATTACACAAAATTACAACAAAAAACATTTGAACTCATCTTCATTATTTCTGCACCAATAGTCATTGGGGAAGAGCTGTAGCTAGATGTCCAAGAAAGATTTCGAGCCAATACCGATTACAATAGTTTACATTTCCTTTGTGAACAATAAGAAACCAAAAACTATACCAACTTTAATAAGTCCCATGACTAATTAACTCAAAACAGTTCAAGATAATAAGGTAATTATCATTTGTACCTTGTGTGCCCCTCATCTATCTAAGTACTTCAGTACACAATGAAGCAAATATTTCTAAGTACTTAAGCACTTAAATAAGGAAATCGAATTAACATTTCGAAAAGGAAATCTAACCACAATTAAATAAGTGATAAATTAACGGAAACTGATTGCTAGAATACGTTACTATTTTCCTTAGATCTACACTTTAGACAACAAAAACTTACGAATTCATCAGGATCCTCCTCTGCACGATTCACAGCCGAAATTGCTACCAGTAGATATAACGTACAAATAACTCTTACTAATTTTCCCATTTCTTCTTATGCCTCAAACTAGACCTGCAATTAGAGAAGAATTATTCATACGCCGCATTTATGGAAGTGTATGATGCAAGAATTTCCCTTTTTAATTTAATTAAAATTAGTATAGGTCTGAAAGGGTGGCAATGGATGATTCAATTTCCCACCCCAGGTTATTGAACTTATTAATATTAATTAACGGTAAACGTGCATACTTATTTCAAATGAATCTTTTAAACTTTATTTCTCTGGTTTATTAATTTGTAAATGACAAATAGTAATTCTAACCTAAACTGGTGATGATTAATTAAATCCTTTCCTGCGGTTATCGGTCGTCAAAAATGATGGAGTTGAAGGCCCAATTGGAATCGTCCACCACCGATTATCAATCAAAATGCTTTAATTTGTTCACAATTTAGTACTTACCGAAAAAAACTAATAAACATAGAAGAAGGCAGCTCGGAGGATGAATTGAACGATAAATAGAAAATTTTTTAAGTGGCCAATGAGAAGCACCGTTAAGCAACCAATGAGAAGATTCCAAATGGCATGACAGCTTGACGAACTTGCAGGGCCGTAATTACTTTTTCACACAACCTATATAATGGAAAATATTGTTTTTTAAATAAATAAAAATAATAGCAGGTTTGTTACTATGGATTATTATAGTTGGGAAGGAAGTGACCAACAGGTTACATAACGTTACCCACAAAAATTTAAACAAATCTGCAGATCGCCAGTGGTGGACTAGGCGTCTGGACCAACACAATCAATTACAAACCTCTCGCCAGGAAAGATTGCCGGTCATAGAACACTTGATCCCGGTCTACAATCTATGTTTTTCTAAAGATGTGAGCGACTTCCGGGATAGTATCGTCTCAATGTTAAACAAAAAGACTTTTCGTTCAACATCGGCACGATCCTATTTCGGAAGTCGCTCGCACCTTAAGAAAAACATACATTGTAAATCGACACAAGGTGTGCTGTCAAATCCATTTCGATCTGCTGCTAATTGATAACTGGATATCTTTTTGTTTTAGAAAATTCCATGGCATCGCAGATTATTGAAAAAGATGCGGGTTTTATTTTTTCAATTTTCCGTCTTTATCTGAAAAAAATTGAAAACTAATGCGGTTGATTGGAGTAAAAAAATGTTTTCTACAAAAAACCTTAATACATTTTTGCTCTAAAATAATTTGGGAAGCCAATAATCGCATGTTATGAATTTCACATTGAAATCCCTATGATGCGTTACGCAAGTCACCACCCTGTATAAGCACCATACTGCATTTGGAGGTGCGAAGCTGCGAACGCTATAGATACTTAATTGTAGCTATTATCTATTTACCAATAGATGCAGTTAAGCTCCTTCCAAAAAATTCCCGGTAAATTTAAATGAACATTTTTAATTGGCCGAATTTTCAAAACCTGTAACACACGCATCTATTTGCTTCCAATTAAAATTGCCGTATCTGAATTGACATCCTTAAGTCAAACCTGTCATTGCGTTTTGTATTTTGCTTTGCCTCAGTTTGCCGTTAATTTCATTTAATTATACGAACAAAATAATTCTTTTGAACTTAATAAACAATTTGAAAGTATGCACTGCTGTGTGTTCAAAAGTCAATATTCAAACATAACACTTTATAACTTAGTCATACAATGTGACATGCGATTTTAAATTTCCCGGTTTTTATAATTTTTGTGACTGTGAAACGGGTCTGCTATTACATTGGCCAAAACTTATTGGGAGTGGCTTAACTGCATCTGTTGGGTGAACAGATTGCATCTATGTTACATATAGCATTGATTATACACATAATCAATGCATATAGCTACTAACATTAAATCCAAAATGTTTCTATTTCACTTAACTTGATACAGTTGTATTTTCTGCTTCTATCAGGCGTGCTAATAAACATACTGGGCGCGATGAGAGTGAAATAGTTATACCATAACCTCATTCTGTCGCATGGCGTCAACGGTACGCATTTGTCGCCTATACCGGTTGCTCTGCCAGTTACGTTGTTTATAGTTCAATGCCTTAATCATGAATGGCGTATCACATGACCTGTTACCATTTAAAAAAATTCAAGGTGCATGTCAATATTTTCAAAGAAAAGCATTCTGATTTGCACGTCTATGTCTCAAACGGTTTGTGCGTGAAATCCATAGGTACTAGGAAGTCTTAGAGAGCCAAAGTAAGGGAATTTTGCTTTCCTTATTCAGAATCCATGGTAATGATACAGGTACAACAAAGACTACACTGTTAATCTCCTCAGACGAGGCCCTTCAGATCAATCTTTAAATACCCAACTACCTGTGACTTGAGTAGATTTTATTGAAAGCATGTTGAAAGCCCAAAACCACTAAACTTATAGAATGAGCATGTGCAATGGAGCAATATTAATAAAAATAAGCTAAAATTTATTGTACCATCAAGGTAGTGTACATATAAAAGATGTAACATGTCTAAGAAAAAGCACCACATAACAAATAAAAAACATAATAAAAACAAGAATTTACACATGAATGCCTACACGTTGCCGAGGAACAGCCTCACTTTTCGCATTTCCAGTGCGCAAGCTATCAGAATTAGACTTCTTCATGTTCGTTAGACATTCCAACTAAAAAATAACCGGTCCAAACAATCTGCATAAAGATACTATAATACAAACTTGTTTGTCAATTGCTCTAAACTGCCACGACCAGTTTGCTCGATACAAAAATGGCCTATGATCAAAACGGTTGTCATCTGGACTATACGACTCAGTGTGATATGATGGAGTCAGAATGGTCATTTTGTGTCGGTTAATGGCGTAACATCTGAAATCAGACAATATGATTAATAAGCAGGTGTGTCTATAAGGTTTTTGCAATCCAGCTGGTGCTAATTAACATAAGCTGTATCACATTTTAAAAATAAAGCCACATCTTTTAAAGTTAAAAAAAATAATCAAGAGACCCAATTGAAAAACAGTGGACAATAGTTACACGGAAACCCGGTGAGACTCGTCATGAAATGTTCCCAGAAATTCCATTCAAAATAAGCAAGTGGGCCCCAAACTTTGTAACGGGAAATAAAACCACTTTTTATCAACGCGACTGCTCTCGCGGTTCAACGCGAATTGTCTGATTGACACGCCACGAAGCTCCGTTAACGCGAACGCCGCCTACAAAATAAACAAAATCTTTCCTGTAATCTAAACTAATCATGTCACATCCCATGACTCACCGGCGCCACAAGCTTTCAAATGCATTTAAAAAGTCAAGGACAGTATTTCAGGACTACTCGCCCATGTAACAAAATTTAAAAAAATTTAAGAAATCCTGCCACTACTGTATCATCTAAAATTGTCACAATCAAAAAATAAATCATAATAACCCTCCAAACTCCAACACTTTGTTGTGGGTTGTGGTTGACTTGCAGTTGTTTAGTGGACATGCAATGTTTTCTAGGGTGGCGTTATTCTGTAACGTCCCGTTGTTTCACACAACTTGCATTGTTATTTTATTTTTAGTTTATATTTTTATTTACGCCCAAAAATTATATGAGCTTTCTCAAACCTTGAGGATGGTTTCATTGGAAGACCCGTTTCCCCTGGCTAGCCGTGGCCAATTCCCTTACCCTTCTAGAGGCGCGTTGCAATTCTTTCCCGCCCAACCCGATGTTACAAAATATTTTAAATGAATTTTCAAAATATTCTGAGGTGTCCTTTGTTTTTGTCATGGGACATCCAGTATAAAAATCCCTGCACTTTTAAAAACGATCAAACCAAATATAAAACAGCACATTTCAAACAATACATCCGTTGCACAAAAAACCTACATCAGGGCAAAAGGTTGGGAGGGTCGGACGACTCTAGTCACAGAGAGGCGTTACAAAGGGTCCAAATATGAAGTCTAAAGAGCATAATAACCCTCCTATCCAAATTAAGAATCTTACCTGAAGAAATGTTTCACTTTTTCAGAAACTTCTTTCGGAGTACACCAACTCGACCATGTTTGTACAAGTTTACAATACATCGAATATGGACCACATTTATGTTGCTTACGGAGTTTTCCAAAGACACTTAATTCGTCATAGGTCATTCCCATGTCCGCCTCGTCAGTTTGAATAATTTTTCCGTCAGTGAGAGGTTCCAGTTCGGCGGTTGGTTGCGCGCGGAGTATGTCGTTTATGATTGGTACATTAAATTTCTCCTTGGCGTGTTTTAAAAATGATCGCAGATCGTTCTTAGAAATCCCACCAATTGGATTGATATCTGCGCTTGAGCAGTCGTACTTGGTCATATAACCTCTGAGGGCTTCATCTACATTTGCAGAACCAAGCACTAGGAGACCTCCGGGTCTCCCTCGTACCCATAACATCAGTTGGGCAAAGAGATAGGACAGAACCATGCGTAATCGAGCTTGGATATTTTGTAAGGCGATATTTTGACGAGGACAGCCTCCTTTTGCAGCAAATTTCGGAAACAGTCCGGTGGCTGTACTGAAGATTTCCAATACGGCGCTTACTACTCGATCAATTGATATTACCATGTGGTAGCTAAAAGCAGGGGAGTGAATGAACTCAAAATCTGTGTGCTAATAAAAACCTTCCAATTTGTGACGCTAATAGAGCAGCGTAATTTTTCGTTTCCTTTGAGGAATTTTCAGAAGCCATGTAACAAGTCACAAACATCCGCTTGCACAACTCGGTTGCGTGTGTTGGTACATACTCGCCGTCGGCGACTATTCTTCGAACATCAGAAAGTACTTTTGTATCTAAAAAATACATGTATGAACAAAGTAGCATCTTGTAGAGGGAAACAAGTAATGTGTCATTTATTTCGAAATATATTTTTAAATAACTTCAGTAAAAAATAAAAACGATTTTGCAAAATTTCGTAATCTCCGAAAGTAGTCTGAATTTTAGTTTCAAAACTGCATATTGTTAAGCATCAAAATACGCAACTGCGCCAAATTTAAACTATCCACCTATCTCTTACTGTTTCCAAGATCCTCATGGTGGCCGTGGCCCTCGAATTTGAATCAGCCTGTATATTTTGGAGTTTTTGAAAAGTGTGTAAAATTTCCTAAATTTTGATGTATTACTTATTATTATATTTATATTAAATATTATTTCTAATATTACATTATATTCATTAAAATATTTTTATTGCAGACATCTAGGTTCCCATGGCGAACAAAAGATGGCAGGATCGTTTACAACGAATTTCTTGATTATCTGCATTATTTATTTATATATAATTATATTTATTTGTTTTATTCATATGAGTTTTCACGTCCTTTGTTTTTAATGTGTTTTTGAAATTAACAATATTTGGAACGAATAAAAATTTCCAAACAACCAAGAAATTGTCCTTTTAAACAATTCTGCCATCTTTTGTTCGCCATAGAAACTTAGATGTTAGCAGTAAACATATTTTAATGTATAAAAAGAAATATTACAAATAATATTTAACATAAATATAACGAGTGATACATCAACATTTAGGAAATTTTTCAGTCTTTTCAAACTCCCAAAAATATAAGGGTGGTCTATATGAAAAAATGTAGTTTAGGGCAGTATATGAAAAACCAAACATCCTATCCTATATAAAAGCTGTGAATCGTGATGGATTCTACATAAAAAAGTGTTGTAAGAAAGATTTTGCCAAAATCAATTATCTTTACTAAGACAGTTATGGCGCATTCAAAAAGTCGACTGCATTCGAGAAACGCCCATTACGGGCCAAACGATTAGAGACAGCTGAATTTTGTACATGCCAGTGATTTTCTCTTGAAAATTGAGCTCCTGACACCTAGGTCATTTCTTTCTCTTAAAATGTGAGTGTTTCCATAAGAATTGGACTACCCTGTACATTATATTATATAGTATTCCAGCCCAATTAATTTATTATTATTATATTGTTATAGAAGGAAACTCCTTTAACATTTTTTTTTCACATTAATATCCAAAGCTATAGCTATTTAGTTTAGGTTCAAGGCTTTCAGGGAAAACTAGCTGTTTGCTAAAAACAAAGCTATCTCAAGTGCCTTTAGCCGAGCTAAGCTGGAATTTCGTGTGTCACAAAATTATTTTCTGTTATTAAAGAATTGTGATAGATTAAGGGCCGGTTTTACAATTACACTTTTACGCAGAATAAGATATCCTTGGAATAACTGCCATAGCAACATGTATCTCATTGGTTGACACAATTGTAACCAACGCAACCGTCTGCATTTATTCTAGGTATAGCTTATTCTCGGTATATACCTGCATTGTAGAATCGGCCCTGAAATGTATACAAACCTCCCGCTTGAACGGCAGCAACAATCATGGAACACATCGAGTACACAATTAGCGCCGTACTGGATGAATCTACTCCCCCGCTCAGGGGTAAGAAATAACCGCCTTGGCCGCATCTCCTGAGGTAATCCCACAACCAGCACGCTGGTCCCTAAAAAAAAGAGCAGAGATTACGTTTTCCTCTGATGAAATAAACAACATTGGAACATTGGATATTCATTTATATGTCTTTATTTTAAGATAAACAATGCTGCTCTTCTACCATGCTAACCCACTATACACCTAGATGTCGAAACCCGGATTCGAATCAGGGACCCTCAGTGCCACTGCACTACACTTAAATCTTTTAGTTAAGGTTTACTGCCAAACTCCATTACATAAAGTATTGAGGGACTGTCCAGGTCTCTATTCAGAGATCATACTATTCAAAAAAAATTGAATGTGTTTACATTATCAATATAGGATTATTTATTCATAGCGGCTAGATCGCATTTTAGTATAATATAAATTTTGACCTATTCCTCCAAAAAAAAGGGTGTAAAAATACCTAGGTCGAGACCTAGATACATTTGTACAGAAGATGCATTAGGTACAATTTCATTTTCATCCGTAGTCAACAAGAATATTCTTTCTAAATACCTACATACCGAATGCATGGAAAATACGTTATTACCTTTTCAATTTCTTCCTCTGGTGTTAAGTACTGAACCGCAACAGGAACTGAAACTGGTAACATGGTATCAAACTGAGGACACAAAGAATAATCAATGTTGACACGGGGATACGAAGGAGCAGACGCCGCTAAATGTGTTAGCGATCGTATACCATTACGGTACGCTCTAATATCTTCCAAGTCAATTGTCGCAGCAATGACCTCCTAAAAGATGTAAAGCAATAATTGACGTCACAAAACAAATTGCACATACCACATCCTGAAGCGAAAATTGTTGGCAATAATTAACTATATCACCATTGACTGCTATACATGATCCGCCATTAAAGTACACTCTCTGACCGTCACCTCCTCTCAGATTACTAAATACATAACAGCCCCCACACTTCAGCGTGGCACTTTTCACCAAATCAAAGGCGATATAGGCCTTCCTGAGTTCAGTGTAACTTCCAGAACCGTTACAAAATATTTCGACTCCATCCAGACACATGGCAATGTGAGGATTCTGCGGAACCCACAATTCTTCACAAATCTCAAATCCTACCGTGAAAATCAATTAATAACACACAGAGCTGAGAGCTTTACCTAAACATGTATCCCTAGTGGCGATCACAGCATCTCCGAATGGCACAACACTTTGACCAGTAACTGAAGAAATCATTCGAGGAAGGTAATACTCCTCAGTTTCACGATGCTTCAACGTTTAATTAACTAACAGGTAACTCTTCGATATGAAACATACCTTTTGCCATCCAGAAAACCAACGAGATTCGCGATAATTTCCGTCATTACATAGGTACATTTTGGGCCGTATCAGGATAATCTTCTGATTTAAAAACACTACCCTGCAGTTGTAGGCGACATTTTTATGCATCACAGGCATACCAACATCAATTAAAATGTCTTTGCACAAAGGTGCCGTTAGTAACTCCAACAAAACTTCCCAACTGTGTAGAAACGTGTCACTTTCGTAAAAGTGATCTTCACAACTGTAACCGCTACAAAGACAAGCAGTCTCAATATCAGGTTTCCAAACTCTTGCATCCGATATGTATTATATTTAAAATGTGATTAGCAAAAGGTCACAATACCAAATTTCCAATTCTGGTCCTGTTCGAAGGGTAGCTCCCATTTCTCTTGCTTCCAAAATAGATTCCAAAATTCGTTCGCGATTCCCATCAAAATCAAGTGCCCATTGATTTAATGTTGCTGTAGCAATAGTGACTTTGCGTCCCATTTTGCAAAGCTTATTAGATGCAATGTACTACAATCAAAAAAACAAAAACTGTACACAATCACAACAGGAAGTGGTTGAAGAGTAAAGTAAGGTTAGAATATAATCGAAGATGGGAAAGGAATAAAGCCGGTGTTCCACCTTTCATTATGCCGGTGATCTGAATCGCGTCGTACTTTACATAATTATGTTGTATCTCTACCAAATGCTACAATGCTAAATTTTTTTATAAATTTTTATTCATTATAACAAACATACATAATAACTTGGAAGTACAATGTACATGATTCACGTTCCACCCTCCCCTCAATATACCCGTACAACGGTACAACCCGCACCAGGATGTACACATTTTTGAAAGGTTTCCAGTTGGGATGCGGGTCCGCCCGCCAAATAAAATAGACTGGTTCACTTTTCGAAGTTTTTCTGCCCTAGGAGCATTTCAGACAACATTTGGCCAACAAGGCTTTTTTTACTAATTGGTACCTGCTGAACACGAATATCGATGTTGGCATCTCGAAATCTGAACCGGAAGTCCAGAATTCAAGATGGCGGCCAATTTCTGAAAATGTTTATCTTTTCACTCATGCGACCGATTTTTTCGATCTAAAAACTAATTATAATGTTGTTCCTGACGTACGTCACGATAATAATAGTTAACTATTGTTTTAATAATAATGTAATAGTTTTTTTTCACTACTAGCGTCTGATGACATGATTATTAACCTTTTTTCCACTTGTAAAGTAGGCTTTCTCGGCATTTGTTCAAAGTGGTTAATTTTTTTTTTTGGCTTGGACTATTTGTCATTCGGCCAGTCGCATAAAGTGGTTAATAATTTGGACATTATTAACTAGTAGTCAATAATGAGAACTGTCACGCTGTCACTTTTAGAAAACACAGCCCGAAATTTCGCTCAATAAACGTTTAGACAAGTTCTCTAAAAAGAATAATTGCCACCATCCGCCATTTCCAGGTATATTACTTACTTAAAATCATCACATTTTGAAAAAATTCGAACGAAATTACTCTTTGAAAATATCTCAATGACAGAACAAAATACGGCCTGTTTGACTTGTACCTACTACTTCTACGTACTTGATTGACATGTTAAATTAATAAACAAAAAATTCTGTCAACCGTTCATTTTCTTATCAATATAATATGTTAATTTAGAGGATTTCAAGTACTAGTAGTGAAAAAAATAGTATATATACTTACCACGGTAGAGAAGTCTATTATTGCCTTCGCACCTTACACCCCTCTGCGCAAGCGCCTCGAGATGTAATCTTGGTGCTCAGGCAATAATACTGTACTTCTCTACCTTGATATATAATGTACTATTTTACCGGCAGGATGCGTAAAATTAAGAATTACGAAATTCCTAGCTCTTGTTGTCAAAAGGAGGATTTACAAAACGATTGTTTCTAGTAATCCTGACACATATAAGTATTTCCGACATGCGTTTATAATGCATAATTCTCCTTATAAAGTTTTGATAACTACAATCTTTCGAATTTTACGTTAATTTTTAACTGAAAAAAATGAAGGAGTTAAACTAAACTGCGGTGTTTCGGAAGATTCTTATTTTGCTAGGTAGTAATTACCGTTACTCAGGATATATTATTATTGTTCAAGTATGAAAGCATATAGAAAAGTGAAGACAAATTTATCTTATTTTGATGGTGTTAGGTCAATCGTCTTCTTGAGAATATAGGTAGTACAAATCAGTTGAGCCTTGCAACATTAACAAAGTTTTGACCAGCAATCCTATTGACAACCACAAAGGACGATATCTACAGCAGCTTTCCGAATTAATGTAACGTTGTTGGAATGGGGATGTAGCCATATTCAATTCTTTCCCCAGGAAATCAAGGATAGATGTGCTAGTCTGGGCGACATTTCAGAGTTTAAGGTCAAAGAACTACCTCTTGAGATTTACACCTGATATGCCGTAATTAGGGAAATGGATGAAATGCTAGAAAAGATTAGATGGAATTCCAAGAGAATGGAGTTCAAAATTGTTAGATCTAAAGCTTCGCAGCTCCTGAAACCTGGCAATACTTCTCCACTCTGGGAAGTTCTACTTGATTAACCGAGATGGGGCCAGGGACGTGCGCATTCTTCCAAACGGACGTCTGGTAGAGACTTCTCCCTACCGAACTAAGCGGGACGCGCACCGTCGGTGGAAACTATGGTATCAGCTACCTAAATAGAGGAAGACGCCTCCTAAAATATGCGAGCAAGGTCGATATTCTGAACAAGTGAAGTTTCGTGTACCTAGTTATGAACCAACCTTGTATAGTTTTGTCACGAAGATTTTTGCAAAAGATATATCTTCTCGCTGAGGAGTATGGTACCCAGCGTGAACAGTAAAGAAGAGCGCTTTTGAAACACTATCTGGTTGACTTCCGGGTTCGCATGTCGGGAATATTTATATGTGTCAGGATTACTAGAAACAATCGTGTTGCAAGTCCTCCTGGCAACGAGAGCTAGGAATTTCTTAATTCTTAGTTTTACGCATCCTGCCGGTAAAAAAACTATTACATTGTTGTTAAAACAATAGTTAACTATTATTATCGTGACGTACGTCAGGAATAACATTATAATCCGTTTTTAGCTCGAGAAAATCGGTCGCATGAGTGAAAAGATCAACATTTTCGGAAATTGGTCGCCATCTTGAATTCTGAACTTCCTGTTCAGATTTCGAGATGCCAACATCGATATTCGTGTTCAGCAGGTCCAAATTAGTAAAAAACGCCTATTTGGCCAAATGTTGTCTGAAATGCCCCTAGAACCTGTTAAAACGCTGCTTTTTATAAAAGTGAACCAGTCTAAAAGGACACCAAAAGTTTTTAATAATCATTAACATTGTTGACATTCAATTCTCAAATGACGATTAGACATTCATTTAATGAAATGAAGAATTAGGTTACATATACGAATACACCTGAAATATGCGACTCTCTCTTAATCTCTGGATCAACACAAAAAATCGGCCCAAGAAGAAAGTAAAAGTCATCTGTGGTCCGTACTACTTCTACACGACCGAACCTAAACACTACAAATATGAGTGAAACGAACGATATTTTCAAAATACTCTTTTGCGCATGCGTAATGCCAACTCTCTTATTCTATGACTTTGGTTATTGTAAAAAAATGGATCAAAATTAGAATTTCGTGTGTTCTCGTGAAAAATATACTGTTGAAACTAAAGCCGGCTTGATAAACATTTTTTGGACTCTGCACCAGGGACGATTAATATATGCGCATGTGGAAACTACGCAATGTTATCTTTCTTATTTATAGCGATTTCTTTGAAATTTTAACCATAGATGCTTCTACCGGGTGATTCATTAGAAGTGATGATCGCTTGAATTTCGCGCGTAAGGTTTTAGTATTTTTTGCATTATTAGATTGACGGTTTGAATTTCGTTAGTAATCTTTTTCTGACATGAGTGTCATTTAAGAAACCAGTGTCGCCGTTAATTGTTGTGTGCCATTTGCGGTTTATTACATTTTCCATTTTGAACAATTTTTAGAGTTGATGCACTAAAATATGTAAGAAACTTGACTGCTAGTGTTAGTTTATAATTTGTGGTAAAACAGAAGCAGTATTTGTAGATTATAAATAAGTAAACGATTTACTGAAAGCACGATGATACACCACTGCAATTAAATAAAAGATCATCAGTTAGTACCTTTCATAATTTATTTGATTTGCGGGAAATTCAAATTGTCCTCACTTCTAATGAATCACCCGGTAGTAAAAACAAACATATCGCATATAGTACAAATAAAATACACACATGCGCAGGCTGCTCAAAGCCAATTTTCTTACTTGTACAGATTTTAAAAAAATTTTAACTACAAATGCTTTTAGTAAAGAACAACATATATACTCGTATAGCAAATAGTAAAAATCAGATGTGCGCATGCGCAGAGTGTGAGATCCCAACTTTCTTGTTTATGAAGATATTTCCTGGAATAGACGCTTCTAGTAAAGACAGACATATCGTATACATCAAATATAACCGTATGCGGAGAGTGCGCAATTTTAACTTTCTTACATGCGAGCGTCAACTTTCCTATTTATGAAGATATTCCATTGAAATATTAACTATATGCTTTAACTATCAAAATGCTTGTGTCCATATATAGCCTTCGGGAAGTACCTTCTGATCTGTTCATAGCAAATGTGCTACAGGTGCTCGTCTGAGGGCGAAATTTTGTTCTTCTTATACCCATTTAAATGGAATAGTACTTATAGTAAGTAATGCAATTAAAGTTATCTATTCTTAATTTAAACAAAGATATTTAGATATACTTTGCACTATAATTTGTCATAGGTATATCTTCATTCAACGGCACTATAACTGTCGGATATTGCAAAGTATGCGATATGGTTCGTTCTCGTGATTGTCGGTGATGTTCCTGTCTATCCCGAATTGCGTTATACCTGTGCTTAATTTCATTGTGCACCTCCGTGTTTAATAAACAGTAAACTAATGCAACGAAAAGTCCCTGAAATAGTAACACTTAGTATCCATCCGAACAATTCTAAACAATCCTCACCTGAAAAGCCACGAAGGTTTGATCAAGAAATAGCCATACCACTTCAGTTGTTGGATTTAAATTCGTGCTATATAACATTACGAGTGAGATTACGTATGGGACTCCAAACAATGGAATTAAAGTCAACGTCGATTTCACTAACCTTCTAAATAATAGAAAACAGATAATTAGGTATAAATAAGTTTCTTGAAACCTGTATTTTGTCCTTTGGTGTTGGATGTAGATCGAATTTAGTTTCATTAGTAAAATTCGTACGATCATTATGAACAATACAAAGTTTACCTTGAAAGAGTAAATTATTTTAAAAAACGAATTGGCGAACTTACTATAACAGATAATGTAATGGGCCCATGAAGTAATATCAAATAACTTTTATTTGTTGATGTAGTCCAGCAGAATGTATCTTCATGATATATCCTCATTAGTATCCATGGTATTACAAACAGTAGGGGAAAAGCTGCAAGTAATAGAATTTATATTATTAGCCAGGTAAGTGAGTTTTTACTGGCGATAGGAGAAGTTGACTAGCGAGCCGTTAGGCGAGCTTGTCATCTGCTAGAGCGAGTAAAAACTATTACCTGGCGTATAATGTACAATATTTTATTTGTTACTCATTTGTAAACAATAGTAAACGTAAATAATTAGTTCTTAAATTAATCTTGAAGAAATGTCTAAAATATCATGTTATCCATGTAACAGAGACTTCGCATTAATTCTGGCCAATGAAATTACTAGATTACTAACTTGTAAAATTTTTACAGGTCTGCTGTCAGTTTTACAGGTCTGCTGTCAGTTTTACAAGTCAGTAGCGTTTAAACATGACGTTTACCCGTTTGCGTTTTGTCTTGTTAATCAACGTTTACAACTGAGTAACAAATAAAATAAAATACACCCTCATCAGTCAGATTTTGGGATGAGATTTTATTGCTCATTTTCTGACACATTGGTATACAACACATAATCGCACGAATTGTACTTAGTATTTTGCAGTAGAGATTTGTTGGAGTTCCGTAAGAAAACTTTTAAGGTGCCTATGCTTGAAGATGGATCCAGATAAAACTGACCCTTGGCCTTACAGAAGTAAACACATTCTAAGCACATGTCACATTCTTTACACGTGCAGTTGCATATATGATGGGGCACCACCACTTCATTATAGTACAATGTGGTCATGGTCCAGACAAAGCGTGGGAACTGATCAACAATGATCTCGATATGATTGCTATAAACTAAGCCTGATGGGAAAGATAAGGTTTGTTTTTTCGAGTTCGAGTTCGAGCAAACCTTGATAAAATTAGTTTAAAAAAATTGTGTTTTATATTTTGTGATATTCCCACGTAGACTTTAGCGACGCCAAATAAAATTGTATTTGTGACCGGGAGAACATTAAATTGGAATATTACGGAATATAACCTGAGCCTGAGGGAAAGCCGAGGCCACCTACCACGCGGATTGGATCTATCTGGAAACGCAAATGTATTTAATAATTTTCAACATCACAATTGACGTACAAAAAAAATTCGTTAAGCCGCTTGTGAGCAAGAGGCGAAGAGTGCACTTGCAAAGTTGATTTTTTGATTTTAATAGCGCTTATGGACATTTCATATTTTTTAAGTAACAGTTTGCGTGAACCACCCTGTATATCTCTGACACCATTTTCATTTCTCCTATTTGTGATTTATTAGTAGGTACTTTATTGTTGTGTTTTGTTAAATATCTCATGCTAAAAAGGGTTTTTGATCATTCAATGCTTGGAGTACGAGATTTAGGATGTTTGTTGATATTTTTGGCACACTAGAGCTCAAAAATATTTAGACAATTCAAAATTCAGAAAATGAGCGTTAACCAAAAATATACGAACCCCAGCCAAAAATATAGTAGAAAGTAATTTTGGTTTTATCTGAGCACAACGTCAGAAAAATTAAATTGTGCAGGTAAATCCCCTCCATTAATATTAACGTATAATTGGCAACAATAAAATAATTTCTCGAGCTCGTAAGTGCTTTGCAGATCCAATTCTGAAAGTAATGTATGTAAATGACGACCATTTGTAATGTTTTTACATGGTGTTCCTTGGTATATTTCAATATTCCATCCATATTATATACTAAATCTGATTTAAAAGCAACTCCTTCCACGAATATGAAATCTTTAAGAAGTGACATAAATCCTCGCATTATGAACGACGCAAACAAGTGCATGTGTAGACGATTTCTGGGACATTGTAACTTTCTGAAACATAAAAATTGGTATATACTTGTACGTACATACAGGGTGTTACATAATGATATGACATTTTAAGAGAAATTGCACTCAAGCTTTGATTTTTTTTGCATAAATCGATATAGACTTGTGTGATATACAAAATGTTAAAAATTACTGTTTTTAATAAAAGGAGTGGCAGATCCTTTTTATCCTGGTAGCAAATGTCTGATGGCATAGTTTGCTAGTGAAATAGCTACGAAGTTGGTTAAATTAGTACTCGTAATATGAAGAATTTTTTTCTTCACGATTGGAATGGTTGAATCAAAAAACAATCGAGCATCGGGTTATAAAGATAAAACTTTTTTTGATGGAATTGCCTGTATATTTTTGCATATTTTGACAGAAAATAAAGAGTACACACCAGTAAATTGAAATTAAAGGAAGTATAAGCAATGAAACAATAAAAAAGTTCGTAAGTTAGAAATAGTAAAATGTGGACATTTGATTTTTATACAGCATCATAACTTGTTTTATTACTTGTATCATCCACCTTAATTATAACCAAGTAGTCAGTCAGACGGCCGTTTGTAAAGCGTAGGTGGTTGCGAGTCGTCAAGTTTGCGTTGGTTCCATATCGATTTTTAGCCCTGCAAAGATTACAGATTCGAATATCGGCTTGCGGTTGGTGGAGAAGCGAGGCGGAAGGCTGGTGTGTGGCAGAGTTGCCAACTGTAAGTCAGGTTTGCAGTAAGTACTGGTTTGTAGAACCCTTAATAGGATCATCACAAAGTTGTATTTTAGGTGTGTTGTCATAGAACTTAATTGGGGGAGGCTAATTTTCAATTAGTTGGATTATTTTACTATTTATCATATTAGTGTTCAGTTTAGGAACCTTCTCGCATTTAAGTACCTAAATCTTTCCGTGTCTTTAGAAGTAAGAGTAACCACCAGAGCACTCTTAGTACAAGATCCCACATAAAAAGGTCAACCGTCGGTCATCTGTTTATTGAGTGAAACACATTTCTTAGCAATCTTAATACGTAAACAAACACATTGCAAATGGGTTGCCTAAAAAATTAAATCAAGACTAATCTTAATTAAAATTAACGTAATTAATATTTCTGTCTGCTTCTACCACATGGAGTTTGAGCATGCGCACTCTTTTACATTCGATGTCTACACCACGAGTTTTACACGGAACAATACACGTTTCTCTGTCGCGCGCTACTTAAAATAACGACAACCGTACTGTTCCGTGTGAAAGAGAAGAACCCAGCGTAACTGCTGATTGTGGTGTACGTATCGATGTAAGATAAGCTCTCTCCATGTGATAGAAGCAGACAGAAATATTATTTACATTAATTTTAATTAAAGGTAGTCTTGACTTACCTTTTTAGGGAACCCATTTGCAATGTGTTTGTTTATATATCGAGATTGCTAAAAATGTATTTTACTCGGTGAACTGATGGACGAAGGTTGACCTTATGTGGGATCTTAGACTATCTCGTGCTTTGCGTACACGGGCGCCACGCGTACCTCCCCCACAGTCGTTATGGAAGTTCTTCTGGGTCTGCATTCACTTTATTTTCATCTGCAGGAACAAACCCTGTCGGTAAACTTACAATTTCGATCCATAAAGGAGACGAGGTTAGTCATTATCGAATTCTAGAGGAAGCAGTTAGGAGGCTGCCATTAATGGAAGGCAACGTGTTCTTTATAGGGAGAAACTACCGCATTATTTTCGATGAGAAAGTTGTATCCCAACTTGATATAACTATTTATCATAAATAATGCATACGAACCGGCATCTGCTCAAAAGAACTGCTGGTGCAAGAATTCCCTGTACTCATGTGGCTCAAAAGGTGCGCTGGAACAGAACGAAATGAAAAAGTCGACAGACTAGCGAAATTAGCCTCAAAACAATCGTTTTGTAAGCAGAACAGGTTCTTTCACCTGAAGTATCCACTGTAACCTAATATAATAACTCAAGCTACCAAAATAAGACAGATTGCCGATACGCGAGAAAGGCCATCACAGGACCATTTCGCAGTTTGGCGCGGTTTTGTACAAGGTTATCAAGGCCACGTGTAAATTAAACAAGCACTGCATGCTCACCACATTCTTTGCGAGTGTCTCGCAAGTCGCACTCGTCCAAATGAGAGATTTCTTGCTGGGGGAATTCTGGCCGAGCACGACCAAGGTGCTTCCTCTGCATGTGTCCTCAAGTTTGGAGTGGAGTGACTTACAAAGGGTAAAATCAAGGGCCCAAAAGGAAGGCCTATGTGCGCGTGGACGTAAAAGTACACCCTCCGCTCAAAATCCAGAATAAGTAGCTATAAAAATGTTGGGCGTGAGGCACACATAACGACGGTGTAAGTATATGTCGAAAACTATAGGTACTGCAGTTCGAAAAAGCGCGAAAAATTTAGTATGTACCTACTTACTGTCTATGTACCTACTTCTATTACCTAGATGAACATGCGCATATCATTATGTAACAGAGTGCAACTTACTTAATCGCGAAAAAAATAATCATTGCAGATATAAGGGCAATTAGTGAAATAATGTAGCCACTGTGGGTCACATGCTTTAATATTGGAACCCATTTACGGTAAATGGTTGAATTTTCAATAGAATCGAAATTGACCAAAGCAGTTTCATGGTCAATTAGTGCCCAACATTGGCTATAATTCGTCCAACTTCGATTTAGTTTCGTATCGAAATACCATTCGCCGTTACTTTCGCATTTTTTAGTTGCAAAATCCTAACAATTAATTATTATTTTCATTGAAGCGAATACCTACTGCACTAACCTGCGAATTTCCCATGTACGGACAGGGCTGCTTGCTCAAAGTGCCACCCTTTGTCGCTTTCCAACACATAATTCCATCAAATATCAACGTACAAAACGTTTCATTCGGCATGAAATTACCATCGTCTAACGAGCTATTTTGATAGCATTCTTTTCGTTTCGTTTCTAAAAAATGATCCATTACCAACTGTGTAGCTTTTTAATAACTGCATAAATGAAATCCGATTAATCGAAACATGCAGTAATTTGATACAAGGCGTGCGGGTGTGTTACCATGATATAATGAAATTGATGTTTATTGTCATGTCCAATACAAACATGGAACGAAAATACAAATATTTAGATTCTGCAGGTATTACCTCGGTAAGAAAAGAATTTCTGAAATGTCAAATCAGTTCTTTGAGCCAGCCACTTTTGGTAACGCATTTTCAAAAATAAATACTTATAGGTATAAATTGTGCACACCTCATTGTGCAGATAAAGCTCATTTTTGAAACAGAAATGGCTTGGTAAATTGTTGTGTTATAAGGATATGCTACCTATATTTATCGATGTTTGTCTTCTTGCTATATGATTAATGGGGGAGGGAGCTATATAACGCAAGAACTCAAGAGCATCTAGACCTTACAGAAAGAAATACCTATTGCATTTTCCTTCGTCCAACATTTTGGAGATATTCACAGGTAAGTTTTCATGTCGCCAGTAGACAGATTGCATCTAGCAGATGTTTCCACCCCTTGAGGAAAGTTCCGTTCTGCAGATATTTGCACTGAAAGTTTTGACTTCACCAGTAGATGTGTATCGTCCAGACTCTTCACTTACCCTTTATGATGAATACCTTCCTCCGACACTTCGTTTTCAGGATAATCGCTTGGACTTCACCAATAGATATGTCTCGTCCAGACGATTAATTTTGCTTTTGGGAGTACTCTCTTCCGACAAACATTTTCGAGATACTCATCACCAATAAACCGACAATCGGCTCTTGAAATATAAGAAATTATAAGCGATCCCGATAATAGGTCGGGGAAAGCAAGCGATAATTGGTAACCACCTCTCATTAGAGTACCATGAAGGATAAAACCAGCGTATTGTTTGTCCCTATGTCTACTTTTAAATGTAGAAATCTCTTCTGAAGGGCGCCTAATTATATGCAACAAAAATAAATTCTTAAAACAAATAAAGTCTGTCTGTCACATTAATTAATTTGAATATTGTTGCTTTGGCTTCCGTATTTTTATTTTCGTTCGTGCGTAACGTATTCTGCTAGCGCTTCAAACAAATCTGTAGCACCAAAACGTGCTCTTTCAGTTCCAGAGTAATGTGCTATAAATTCTGCGAGAGTGAATTATCAAAGTTTCGCTTGCACCACATTCGATATAGGCACGGAACACAAAATATTACAAAAGTTGGAAACTGATTATGAGTTCAACAGGATGGTGCACCCCCGCTCAACGCTGTAATCGTGCGAGAATACGAATACTTATCGGAATTTCCAGAAAATTCTTGCACGATTAGAGCTTTGTGCACGAGTGCACCATCCTGTCGACGACAACAGTTTCAAACTTGTCTTTTTGTGTGTGCCGTATATCGTTGTATGATAGTCAATACAGTAGGTATGTACTTTTTTTAGGGCCCATATAAAAAAATAAAGTTGATGATTGCTCCGAAAGGAAACGTTGTATTGAAAATCTCTCAACGGTGTCTTATAGAGCTCAAAAAGTGGCAATGAGAAACCGTTTTTTAAATTTTGTTGTATCTGTTCAAATGACATCAGAAAAAAATAATAAATTAAACAAATATAGCAAACGAGCTCCTGGGTATGGCTATAGTATGTGCAAAACCAAATTTTAAATCTGATGTTAGTTTTGCTTTGATTTAAAGTGTATATGTATAAATTTTCATTTGAATGCCTCCATAAATAAGAAAGTTGTCACTGCGCATGCGCAAAACCAAATTTTGAAACTGGCGTTAAATTTTCTTTTATTCCAAGTGGCTATGTATCAAATTTCATTTAAATACCTTCATAAATAAGAAAGTTTGCAATTCGATCTGTAAATTGTCGAGATGCGCAAAGGGCACTGTGAATGCTGATCGATTAGGCTCAACTTTTGGAATTGTGTTTTATATGGCTAAAGCTATGCGCATATTGAATTATGCAATTCGGTTCATAACTAACGGAGATGTCAAAAGGGCCTACTTTATTTTTTGGGCTACATTGCCAATTCACGAACTCAGGTCTACAAATTTGATAAAGAATCCACCTGCAAAATTTCATCGTAATCGGTCCATTCGTTTATGAGTTATCGTGCTAACGGACGGACGGACGGACGGACAGACACCACAAAATTATAAACTCGCTAGGAGCTCGTTAATAACGAAATCAGTAATCAGCCAATCAGCGGTTTTCAGGTGTATTTTCGGAAGGAATCGGAATTTTCTGGTTTTTCTTTAAAGGATGATAATAGTTCTGTAATTGCGCCTATTTTCTCTAATTTGATCTTCGTCGAATCGTCTATGGGTTCGGAGATCCTAATGATAGACGTCCTTATCTTGGACACAGTGTTTATTGTGTATACATTAAACATTTACTAATTGATTAATTTAATCACTAAATTCATCGTCTGAGCTGTTATTTTCCGCTAAATTTATTATAATTTGTATGTACCTACTACGCCACTGGACTTTGCGAATTGCCGCGCTTAAAATAATTGAAAAAAGACGACTGCGCATTCGACCTTCAAGCGTTCTTTTTTCGTGACATCTGTAGAGTTCCATAGCAATAAATATTCCAAGTATTGATTTTAGTATCGACTTAAATGACGTGTTATTATTTGCGACATTTTCAACTATAAATAACTACATGCGAAATTAGATAACTCAGTAGTAGGAGGGGGATACTTTTCTGACCCGAAGGACCAATTTTTAAATAGTATTGTCTGAATACTGATTTGAAAAAAACTGTTCGATAATTTTGTTCCTTAACTCATGAAGTATGTACATAACACATTGGGTGAAATTCTCTCCATTTTCGTTGTCCGGACAAGAATTGTAGTTGAATTTTTTTTTCGATAACTAATTTCAGATTCGTGATTCATGTTCATGTTCAAAAACCCTCAGATTCCAAGTTTCGTAAAAAACAGATCCCCAGGGGCATACCCCAACCAAAACCTGTTCAAATACGGGCCATCAGTCTTTATAACTGTTATAGTTGCTGAAAAAAAATTCAAAAAGAAATGCAAATTTCATCACTTTTTTGAGGGTGACTCCCAAACTACCAAACCAACTATCAATTTTTTTACATACTTAGTTCTATTGTATGTAACACTTTGCATACATAGATAGCCTCCCATTTACTTTCAATAAGGAGTATCTGTGCCAACATGTCAAACTAAGACAAAGGTATATTTTGCACGGTAAGTAGAACACCGCACATGCGGAATAGCATTTTGACACGAGACTACAAAGAATGAAACAAATATGTTTAAAAGCAAAAGAACAATGTACCTACTTTAATTTTGTGTACCTATTATTTATTTTCTATGATTAATAAAAATTTATATTTTTTAATAATAATTTTATATTTATTTATGTTGGAACCGTTAAAAATCGAAAAAACTGGAACCTATACCGGAACCCTTAAAAAATGATTCAACCTATATGTATATAGTGTGGAACCGGAACATATTTCATATGGGTTCCGACCTCTGGTCCAGTGTGACTTTGCAATGAATGATAAATCTAATTGTAAAACGCATGTATTAACATGCGCTTTCGGTACCAAACATAAATCCAGTATTAAAGCACATCTGCCAAGAATTTAAAATGTATTTCATTAAACTTCCCCCTAGCTATCAAAATGGACGTGTTTTTACAATTTTTTTTTAACATTTGGAGATTTAAAATGAATATCCTGTATTGTCGAAGATCTAATCAAATACCGTAACTTTCGCAACCTCCTGTATAACAAACTGTTTGCCGCCCTCTCTTTTGAGACGCAAACATATTTTTGGAGGTTATGTTGAAAGATAAGGGAGGTTATATTTGAAATTTCCAAAATTTTGTGCTTTACTATCAAGCAGCAATGTCCAAATTAAAAATTAATCGCGTAGTCAGTTTTAGTTCAGAAGACACTGTAAGCTCTAATAATTATATTCTCATCATCTACCTTGTTACTTCTAGAACCACAAAGCTGCGAATATTTTAACATCGGAGCCTACCAAAAAGTGGAAATGTTCAGCAAAAGGAGAAAAATCTGCTAATCTTATTTTGCAATTAGACGAAGCTAGCTTGATATCTAGCATTGATATTGGGAATGAACACTCCGCTTACGTCGAGGTGCTGGTTAAGCGTTCTGGCAGTACAGAGGATTTTAAAGTTCTACTTGTTATGTCATCCTTCATGAGTCCGTTAGAATCGCGACAAAGCACAAACGTTAACAAAGTTAGAATGTTTACCTATAACGAATTTCAGAGCCCGGAACGGGACGAAAAGTGGGACGTTGTTAAAATTGTCTGCACACAACCTTTTAATAGACATGTACAATACGGACTCTCCTTTTTAACGTTACACACTCCAGGAAATAAAGATGGGAACGCACTTGATGGCGTGAAGCTTGGTAGTAGTTCAGAGCCGAAGGATGGTAGCGCCACACCAGTGAAGTTGGGAAAGTTCACACTTCGTCCGATTTCGCCCAATCCCTTGGCAACAGGCACCCTGTTTTCTAGAAGGAATCTTGATCTGACTAATTCTCCATCAGGTTTGTAAATAATTTGGTATAATTCTGCTATTGATCAATATGTCAGAATCAAGTTGGTATGGGTTAATATAACTATGTAAAAAAAAATTTGGTGGGAGAATGGAATAGTTTTGCAATAATTCGTTACTCCAGCCAAACTCTGTTTTAGTCATTTAATCAAAATGATGACAAACTATTATTTGAAAAGCACCTTCTGTTAAAATTTTGAAAAAAATCCGCCTGTAACTAAGAACAAATATCCGTATTCAAATTGACGTCCGTTCTTATTAGCACACAATTCGCACTTCTTCCTCGCACAACATATTGTAACGTAAATTTAATTGCATTATTTATTTAGGTACAATCAATTATTAATGAATTTATAACAGTCCTTAAATAGATTGATTTTATAACAGTTAATAACTCACTTGTACCGTTGAGTGAAAAGTAATGTACACAAATTTATATGTAAATTTATCACATACAAGCGCTAACTTTACTAATAATCACTTAGGCATCGATGTTGAAACTGCCTTTAAACGCGATTCAATTTGCGTATATATAGCAAACGAAAAATTTCTAGAAAAAATCATGTAACATTCTCGGATATTCTAGAAGACGTATCACATTTCAAGGAAAGAATGTGTAGCATCCGTTTTCATTCGTTATCGCTGGTGACTAATCTTTTATCAACTTGCCGTCACGATGTCTTTCTGGATTTCTTGAATATTTTCTACACTAAAATTTCCCCTCAGTTTGTTAAGAGCGTTATTATTGGTTTTATATAAAATGTTCTTTATACAGGGTGTAGCAGCGGTTAATTCACCCACCACAGGGATTTCAATGTGAATGTCTTTATACCGTTCTTCCCTAATTAATTTAGAGCAAAATTGTAAATAGTTTTCTTCTAGCTTGAAAAATTCTGCGTCTGCTCATTTATTACTTTGCAATTTGGGATACTGAAAAAATTAAATAAATTAGAATTTAGCATTTGTGTAAAAATTACCGTTTCTTGAAATTGTCTACATCTGTCAAAGTGACATTTTATCTCTGTTGACTCTGTGTCGAATTTCATTCTCTTATATCGCGCAAATATAGTTCTTGTGTGCTGTAGTTAAAATTTTTTTATTGATGCTCAATTATTCGCTTAGCGGCTGCGGCAATTCGAGATTCGTCAACATCAACAAATCCATCCTACAAAACACCAAAGTTGAAAATTGCTGCAAAGCCATCCACAACCCCGAATGAACCAGACACATCTCTAGACACTAGCACTGATACCTCAAAACGAAGAAACCGAGATGAACTGTTGTACTCAAAGGACGAAGAAGATAGTCACGAAAAAATTGACAATCTAATGAAGAAAAGGAAAAAGGAATTAGACGAGAAACAAATTGCCGAAGCTGCGCAACAGAAAACCAAACAAAAGGACAAAAAGCCTGTAGCAAATGGAAAAAAGGCAGCAAGTCCGTTACCTACCACTCCTTCACATGCCACGAAGAGAAAACAGAAAGATCCATCACCGAAGAAAATTAAAGTTAAAAAACTCTCCAAGCCATTCTATCGGCTACTCGATGGTGTAACAATCGTAATTAGTGGTATTGAAAATCCGGAAAGGTCGACGATTCGTAATAACGCACTCGAAATGGGCGCTAAGTATAAACCTGACTGGGATAACAGCTGCACACATTTAATGTAACATCCGTACCTGTTACAGTCACACGAGATATAATTTTAATTTCAGTTGCGCTTTTACGAACACACCGAAGTTTAATCAGGTTAAAGGCAAGGGTAAAATAGTCAACAGATTGTGGATATCCGACTGTTACGCACTACGGAAAAGGTTACCTTGGCGAAGGTATGCGCTGGATCGTAATGATTTAAATAAAGATGAGAGCGAAGACGAAATATGCGAAGATTTTCCTAGCTCACCGGATGTTTGTAGTAGGTCAGTGTTCCATTTGTATGTCAAAAATATGTAACTTTAGCCATGTTTTCCAAAAAATATCACTAAAAGTGATAGAATAAAGTGACCAAAACATCTGTATAAACAATCAAATTGATTTACAGAAAATTAATTGGTCCAAACCTTCAATGGCAATATGAACCTAGTGGCAGTACAGTGTATGCCTCCCAAACTTACAAAATAGCAATAATATATAACTAATTTGGTAGCATAAGAGATGTTAAATTAGATTCTAGCATTTACAACATGGCTACAAAAGCCGATAACCGCCCCCCCCCCCCCCAGATAGCACAATTTATGTATTCTAAAAATATTCTGAGAATATTCCTCTAGGAATATCTAAACATTGTTAGAATATAAGTACCGTAAATATATTAGATATTTATCGCACATTCATAGTATATCTTATGTCCGCCCACAGAACATTCTAGGAATATTCTGCCAAATATATAAGATGATTATTCTAGGAATATCTGTGAATATAATCTCAGAATTTTTGTTCCCCGAATATTCTTAATCAATATTGTCTTAAACAATTATGGTTTGAACATTTAATATCAAAAAACGGTGCACATATGACATAATAGAAACAGTTGATCATCAGTGTCGTCTTAAAAATCTATTATTTCACATTCAAAGCTTATAATACACGTGTTCACGCTAACGCAATTAACTATGATTATACTTGGAATATTTTCAATGAACTACTGATGATATTTATACATTAAAATATCTGTTGTAGTATATTGGGGTGTCACCAGTGAAAAAATTAAGAAAGTAGGAATGTGGAGTAACAATACAAGGTCATCATGGAACAGTTTATTCACTTTAAAGTAGGAGTGCTCACCCTAAATGTCTTTATTCACTCTTGTCAATACACTACTAACCTCCGCTAAAATTATTCCTGGAATATTCTTTAGGAAATAATCATGGAATATCCAATATAATATTCCTTGAATATTCACTTTATTCTAAGTATATTTGTAATATTCCTGGGAGATTCTAGATATATATTCATTTAGGGGCAGTTGTAAGAATATTCATAGAACATAGGTGATATAGCTGGAACTGCACTTGGAGGTTTGGACAGAGTACAGATCTATAACTGACAAAGGGTATTTCAGTTTCATATTTGTCCCAAAAACAGTGGTTTATGGTACTTTGTATATCTATCTATATTATGAATGCCAGCTATAATAGTGTTGAAAATTTTATTTTAGCTCAAATGACGTGTTTATTGATGATAACAGCAGTACAGATGATGAAATCCAAACAGTGTCATCAGTGCCAAAGCAACATACCGGCATTGCAAGTAGCTATTCTGTTGACACCGACGAGGAAATTATTAGACCTGATCGGAATGGTGATATACCAGAATTACCTTCAATTTTAGCACATAAAAAACTGTACATAGATGACGAACTTAGCGAGGAAGAAAAGAAACTTTTAAATAGATATATCATGGCGCTGAATGGGTAAGAAAGAGAGTTCTTGTCTTTTATTGTAATATTTATTTCTTTTTCAGAACTGTGTCAGATGGACCTGCCGAAGTTGATTTTATTATCACTACCTCAAAAAATGTCGGATTTTTGAAAGAAGTATGCTCGAGTGCACATGCCGTCACATCCGATTGGGTATGGGATTGTTACAATGAAAACAGACTTATTCCTGTTAATGCTTTTGAATTGTAATGATGAAGGAATGAAACTATGGTTTATTAAAATTTTTCATGTCGTCATTGAATGTATCAAGGGCATTGGTGTAGTGACCAATTTGTTTTTGTTCAATTGACAGGAATTGCTAGGAATAGATCATATTTGTGATAGGCAGTAGTATATTGGGTGCCATAAGTTCCAGAACTGAAATATTTCTTATCTATGAACTGATTTTTTTTCAAATTAGAGTAAACACGGAAATAATAGTTTACCTGGAATAAAATAACTTCAGCCTCTACTAAGTGACTGAATTCCTAAATTCATGTTTTTTGACGCCAATGTGGTAATGTTTTTAATTTCTTAAACGATTACTTTTCTGTGTTTGCTAAAGATAAAAGACATTCAAAAATAAAAAATATATACACTGTGTCCAACAGAAGGTCTGTCATGAGGATCCCGAACACCATAGAAGGTATGAAGATGTTCAAATTAGAGGAAAATTGCGCAATTAAAGTGTTATTATGCTGTAAAGAACAAGAAAACTGCGATTTTACTTCCGAAGATATGTCCTGTAAAAAAGTACATAGTATATTAGCATTTTTGATCATGAATACACAACTGTGTACAGTGTACGGCACAAAAACTGGAAACTGTTGGTTTCAACAGGATGGTGCACAACGCCCCAATCAAACATAAATTAGAGACCAGTATGTTACGGAGAAGTGGGTAAAATTGAAAAAACTAAATTCAAATAAGACGACGTACTATTATTCCCACTAAACCTAAGGACGCTAACCTTAATTTTGCATCCCTATTCTAAGACCTTCGACATGATATAGTCATCCTCTCTTAGTTCCAATATTAGTCAGATAGAAGTCAAAGGATATTTATAGAAGGAACAACGTCACAATCGCTGGCACTTACTAGAGGAGTTCCAGAAATCTTTACACAGTTTATACCTCCCAGTTTCATAAGGTAATTCGTTTTCGCTATTTTTTTCCGACTACACAACTAATGACCTTTTTTCTCCCTAATCAAATGGCAGTTGTAAACGCATTCATTAATAACGATCTGGAAACTTTAATTTCAATATCAAACAATTACGGCCTTCAAATAAACCCTAAAAAATAGATAGCGATAGTATTTGGGTTATGATAATAATTTGCAATTAGTATTGGGCGGCGCTAAGTTAGATTTTACCGATAAAGTAAACAGTTTGGATATCAGTATAGACTACAAACTTAGATTTACAAGTTACGTAACCCATATGCTGCAAAAAAGTTACAGTGCTCTCAAGCTAAATCACTCACATGGGCCACATTCATGGACAAAATGTTAAGAAAATATAATTTATGTGTGTTGTTTTCAAGTATTATCTGTGGGGTGTATTTGCAGTATGGTGTCTTATGTGTTATGAAATGATTATTATTATTATTAATGTGAGAATAAACCTATTGGAGAAATTTACCAGAAAATTTGCCCGATAAGTATTCTCGCACAATTATAGGGCGTTGTACGCTGGTGCACCATCCTGTTGAGACCAACAATTTCTAAATATGATAACCATCATGTCTTTCATAGCCTATAAGCGACCTTTGCCTTTGCCTCCAGTTTTCTACAGCGTTGTACTGGCCTACATACATGCACATAACATTTACTTATTACTAATCTTGGATTTCTTTCTCACGTTCACTACACTCGTTCTGCTCCGGAGTGTACGGCACCTCTGTTGTCGCCTTTCGAAGCGTTTTGTTAGTATGACAGTATTCTTGTTTTTTAAGTAATTGTACTAATGTGACATGGTATCAAAAAAAAGTTCGCAAACATCACTGGATCGGTGCTGCTACATAGCAGTTGCCCTTTCCCTTGTTACAAGTTTCATTGTACATTAACTCAAGTCTGTTATTGCATTAATTTTTCTAGGTTTATAATTATAAGTAGGTGTTATGAAACGATTTCATGTTCTCTTCGCTCCAGTTACTTTTCCCCTTATAATTTACTAATAGGTATGTCTATATTTTCATGTTACGGATCGTCAGAGTTATAGATGGAAGTCTGGTGGTTAAAGAGTAGACAAACTGTTTGAACTCAACAGGATTTCCACAAGATAATCGGTCCTGTGACGTATCAGAATCGTCAAACCTAACGTGCAGGTTATCTACAAAAAGTTGCGTAATTTATTATTATGGGCACTTTCTGCAGACACCCTGCACTTACGTTTAACGTTAGTTTATCACCAGGCTGAATTTATTAAGCGGCAGAGCAAAGCGATGCAGGCTTTATAGAGGAGTCGATGGTGTCCGTCTGTCCTTGAACACGATAACTGTCAAACGCTTGGACCGATTAAATTTGGTTCAAACTTTGCACAGTTGACCTATTTGCCACTTGTAACAAGCCCGAGGTGCTCTGCCGCTTTTTTAAACGCTCTTTATGGGTTTATTATTGATATATTTAGTTATTTTTTAACGAATTTTGCAGACCTGGAATCGTTTCTTCAAGGTTTTGATCCAGGGGCAGAGCTCGGAAGTATTTGAAGATTTTAAATACTTAAGAGTATTTGGTTTTAAATACGTTCATAGTATTTAAATACTTTTGGGGCATTTGAATACTTTCTTTACACTTAAATGGTTTTAAATGATACCTATAAATATTTTTTGAAGGTAAAAAAAAATTTAGTCATCCGACTCGAAAAAATTTTCCACGTTAAATTAAGTAAACTGGTGTAAATTTACTATAGCGCGTTCTCACCACCAGATTCAGTATGGTGCTTATGTACATACAGTACATGCTTGTCAAACGTGACAATGACCACACAAGATTATGTTGTGCTTAAATTTGTTAGTTTGACATCATTGTGGCGAGGAACAAGGCCAGCGTTATCGAAGAATCATGCAAACTATAGTAGGTATAAGAAGAGGATTTAGTCCATAAGACTCCATACTGCATCTGGAGGTGTGAACGCGTTTTAAAAATCGAAATATGATGGAATTAAGATAAAAATTGTGTCAGATATAGCTGTGAATTCCAATATACTATTATGCCTTTAAGAATGTTTACATTCAAGAACACCTTCGATGAAAAAAGGTTCATTACTTGTGTTCAGTCCTTGAGTTAAGAAGGTGTTAAACTAATCTTTTACATTTGTTTAGTTTCAAAATATTAGTTACCTACTCTTTATTCTCTTAGCGTGGAATTCATAAACATTACTTAAGTTAGACTTACACTTTACTCATACTTAGCGTGTACTTAAGTCTTGGTTATTTACTTATGAATAAGTACCTACTCCATTTCCACAACAACCATATAATATGTAGACTATTAGTAATGTAACATGGCAATAGACACGTTTCATTGATTGCTTCATATACAGGAAATTTCCATGACAAACATCTATGTTCTTATAGCCATATTACACATCAAATAAATTAAAACTTAAAAAAAAACACAAGCTACCTAGATGGCGAACTACATAGTTCTCCTGGCAACTTGTTCCACAGTTCAGCTGCCTGGATGCAGAAGGATGATGCGCCCATACTTGTAGATCTGGTACAATTTAATAAAAATAGCCATATTTTCTTGGTTATTAAGTGGCAGAGCAAAGCGATGCAAGCGTTAGAAGGGGGTCTATGGTGTCAGTCTGTTAACACCTACCTAAAATCAAGGCTAATAGAAATGAGTGTGGAAGGACACCTAAGAGAAAAAAATTTATTCAAAGTTATAAACACATGTATAGATTTTCTATAATACATAGATATTATAGAGCAGAAATTCATAATGATGTTGACTGAATTACAAAGGCACATTAGATTCTAAGCTCACAACCACCAATAAAATTTTTTAATTCCTTATTACTGAGATAACTAAATATTCTTTCTGTACAAAGTAATGGCATATCAGGTACATTGTTGCACAAGACACGGAACATTCTATCACCTTGTTCAAGTAACCTTTTCCGTGCTATACCCCTTCTGATACGATCCTGTAGCATGCTAGAATAGATTGGAAATTTTTTTTCTATATTGTCAGGTGTTAAATGACTCATAATTTGTTCGTTCCTCATGTATGCTACTAATTGATTTATACCTTTTGATAAGATATCATGAAATGATACGTTTGTAGTATAGATTTTCTCAGTCTTCATGGCTACAATTTCCTTCTCACAGTCATTTTTATCGTAATCCGTTAATTCGGAAGAATAGCCACTCATTGCATACAAGTTCTGTTGACTTACATACAAACCTGCAGTAGTCATTTTAACTATATGGTCTTTAAAAATATTAGCAATCCATTTAAACATTGATATGCCTCGATCATAATCAAAATCATCATCATAAGCGATGGACATTTCACAATCGTTAGCAACCTGAAGTGGTGTTTTCTTATTTTTATTTGTAAGATTAATGTCTGCGCCATATTCTAAAAGAGTTGAAATACTTTCGTAATGACCATTCTCTGAAGCTACATCAAGAGCTGTGCTCCCTTGATGATTTCTGGAATCAACATCAGCTCCAAATTTTAACATAGTTTGAATAACTTTGTAATATCCCTTTTTAGCAGCAAAATGTAGCAGTGATGTTAAGTTATTATTGATTATACAATCCAAATGAGCACCACGTTCTAGTAACACTTCTACAACATCTTTATGATTCCCTTCAATTGCCTTATAAAGTGGGGTTGATCCATTTCTTTCTTTGGCATTGACATCAGCCCCTTTGCTTAAAAGTATTTCAGTAATTACTTCATTTCCTTGTTCAGCAGAAAGGTGGAGTGGAGTTCTGTTAAAACGATTAGTACAATCGACATCTGCATTGTGTTCTAAAAGAGCTTCAATGACTTCCACATATTCTGATTTTACAGCAGTGTGAAGAGGTGTGTTACCATATTCATCTTTGGCATTTACATTAGCACCCCGACTTAAAATCACTTTTGCAATTTCTCCCCTAGCATTATTACCAGCATCAGTTAAAGGCTTGTCAGTTTCCAAAGCTGTAAAATATAATAAAGGAAAAGACTGGTCAGTTTTCAAAGCTGTAAAATGCAATAGTGATTGCCCATGTTTATCACTCATGCTAATATCAGAATTAGTTAAAAGCAAGTAAAAAATTTTTAAATCGGTATTCCTAGCAGCATAAAATATGGCAGTTCTTCCATGTCTATCTTTATAATTAACATCAGCTCCATAATTTACCAACAGATTAACTGCTCCCTCCACTTTATTTTTTGTTGCTTTATGTAAAGGTGTGTCAACATCAGCACCATATTTTAAAAGCTGTTCAAGAATTCCCAAATATCCTTCCGTAACAGCAGCATCCAGTAGTTTATAATCATTTACATCTTCACGCTCTATATTGAAACCATATTTAAGTAAATCTTCAACTACCGTCCTACATCGGTCATGCACTGCAACATGAAGAGCTCTCCTATTATTCTCACTGCTCACATTAGGACAACATTTTAAAATTTGTCTAACAATTATGACAGATTTTTGTGCAGCAGCAACGTATAGTACGCTTTTACCATCCCGATCTTCACTATTAACATCAGCTCCGCATTCCAGAAGCAACTTAACAAGATTCACATGTCTCTTTTTAACAGCAACGTATAATACACTTTTACCATTACGATCTTGATTTTTAACATCGGCTCCACATTCTAAAAGTAGCTTAACAATATCTTCATTTCCTCTTTCAACAGCAACGTATAGTCCACTTTTACCATCATGATCTTCAGCATTAACATCAGCTCCACATTCCAAAAGCAACTTAACAAGATTCACATGTCTCTTTTCAACAGCAACGTATAGTACACTTTTACCATTACGATCTTGATTTTTAACATCGGCTCTACATTCTAAAAGTGGCTTAACAATATCTTCATTTCCTCTTTCCACAGCAACGTATAGTACACTTTTACCATTACGATCTTGATTTTTAACATCGGCTCTACATTCTAAAAGTGGCTTAACAATATCTTCATTTCCTCTTTCCACAGCAACGTATAGTACACTTTTACCATTATCGATCTTCTAAAAGTGATTTATAGTACACTTTTACCATAATGATCTTCAGCATTAACATCAGCTCCACATTCTAAAAGTGGCTTAACAATATCTTCATTTCCTCTTTCCACAGCAACGTATAGTACACTTTTACCATTACGATCTTGATTTTTAACATCGGCTCTACATTCTAAAAGTGACTTAACAATATCTTCATTTCCTCTTTCCACAGCAACGTATAGTACACTTTTACCATCATGATCTTCAGCATTAACATCAGCTCCACATTCTAAAAGTGACTTAACAATATCTTCATTTCCTCTTCCAACAGCAATGTATAGTACGCTTTTACCATTGCAATGTTCAGCATTAACATCAGCTCCATATTCCAGAAGCAACTTAACAAGATTCTCGTGGCCCTTTTCAACAGCAATATGAAGTGGGGTAGTGCCACGTACATTTGTAGCATTGATTTCAGCATGTCTGTCTAGAAGCATATCAACAATTTCTAAATTACCATTTCTAACAGCAAAATGAAGAGGTGTATCAGTCGACGATGTATTTTTGCTATTAACCCTAGCACCACTTTCTAAAAGAATTTTGGCAATCTCTGGTCGATTATTTTCAACCGCATGACGAAGTAAAACATAACCTTCGGACCAACCTGCTGAATAAGACAGTCCATAATCACTAATTAAACATCTCGCTGTTTCTGTGTTGCCATTGCGAACTGCAGAAATTAAACTGTAATTTATATCCCCCATGTTAAAAGTTTCAATCTGATTCAGGTCAATGATGCCAATAACTCACATATGCCTGCTGGTGCTGCACACAGAAATGGTATGATTATGTGAAATGTTAAGTCATGCAACTTACCATTAGGTCGAATTAAGTACACAGAATGGTATGTACCTATTTCAAGGATAGCCGGTGAAAGTAACAAATCTGGATATCTCTGAGTCAATCTCTAAACGGAACCTATTTTTCCTACTAAAGGAATGACTTTTTGTCCTTTTCTCCAATTTAAAACAAACCTATAATTTTAATTATAGAGCGTTCAAACTAGTTCAAACCTTCAAAGCTTACTTCTGTGGTCTAAGGTTCAAAATTCAAACTCCCAACTGCAAATTACCTTAGAAACTACAAACTTGTATCACGTATGATTAAGGTTCACGAACTTATAAATTTATAAGTTCGGGTTGTACCGTAACACGTTGAGATAAAAGCAAAATAACAGCGCAATGAACTCGCCCGCTAGGATTCCAAAAGCGGGCCCTCGCGTAGAGGTGGCCAGAACTAACCGCCTCTTTAAATATTGGCGCGTATTGAAAATTTACAGAATTCTTTATAAAATTTCAGTTTAAAATATTTGCGCGGTTGTCACATTTAATTTTCTTTCTTATTGGCTGTATAAAATGTGGACATGATATAATTAGAAAACATTACTTAAGTATAAAAGAAATCAGCAACGATTCAGTAGGTATAAGGTACCTATTGTTAATTACATTGGTATTTTTCTGTTTAGTTGGCGTCTATTGAATAGACAGTAATTACTATTTAATGTAATAACCAATAACAGGTACAATTGTAAAAATGTAAATTAAATTTGTTATTATCCATCCTTATTAGATCGTCTACTATAGTCAAATTAAAGTAGACAACATATTTCATAAAATTGGATTTTATGATGAGCATAGCGATTATTTTGCAGGAAATGTTGTTTGCTTTAATTTTGTATAGATGCCTACATACGCTGAGTTGTTTAACCATTAACAATCAATCATTACAATGCAATAATCCTTATGTCCTCAGAAAAAAAAAACATCAGTCTAATCCAATAATCAGTCAAAATATATAGTGCAGTTAAATAATAAATTAATAAATCTGCACCCGTCGAATAAATTTAATTAAATATTTACAGGTTATTCTCATTTAAACAATTCAATTAAAAAAATACTCTCGACCCGCATTTTAAGCTGCAGCACTAGCGCGCATCGGTCTCCTAGCAACTAAGCGTCGTACACATGTTTTTCAATCACCATTGGCTAGTAGCGGAAAAAACACGTAAGTATATGTATTTAAATTTGCCGCGCAACTTGAGCCGCCGCGCACTCTGCTAGTGATTCATCCATCTAAACGATTGATAATGCAGTGTATGTTCCCATTTTTGAAAACAACATTGGCTTCCACTCCAAATATAGGGTTTCTGGAGCGTTTAAATATCTCCGGAGTGCGTGGGTCGATCGGACTGAAATGTAATGAGATTAAAGGGGACATTAGTCACATCGACTGGTAAAAAATATGGCCCAAATCGGTCAAGTAGTTTTTCAGTTATCGCAAAGAAACCATTTTTAAAGAGGTGGGGTTGCGTCAGGGGTTGCGTTGGTGTACAGATTACATGTTTAACTAATTTGAACCATTCGATCACAACTATAATCCAATTGAGGCAGTTTATTTTGGATTTATTATATTGTTTATAGTTTGGCCGGCTAAATTAAAAAGTGATTGCAACATTTTTTCCGGGAATCTTTCATTATCTTATTATTTGTACAATAAATGCTATAAAAATTAAAATGTCTACTGGCCTTTTTTTTTTTAAAATGTTCGTTTATTTCCGCGCAAGTCGGAAGTAAATATCGTTCGTTAGACTACTTCGACTTCCTCTAACTAAACGATCTAGTTCGGTCGACTTTTCCATACGTCCGTCGACGGTAGGGCGACGAACAGTGTGTACAAAGGGCAGAGACGTAATCAAAGCGAGCTTATTACTCGCGCTTACTGGGAATACACAATACACACTAAAAAATCTATTATTTACCGCTCAAAAAACGGCTTATTGTTACACAAAGAACATACCTTCGCACCTATGAATCAAACCAACAAGCGTTCGGAACTTAATAAATTGTGCCATAAGCGTAGAATGGAATAACATATCTGTAATCATCATACATTTCAAGGAATAATAGATACCTAAATAAGTACAAGCAAACCAAGGTTATTTTATTTCAAAGGTTACCTGGTAACTATGTGGGCGGAAGCGGGAGGGACGGAATGTATACGTCATCGAGAATTCTGACATTGACGTTCAAAGTTGTTTGTAGTCGCGCGGGTGCTTATTTTTCTTGAGTTATAGTTTACTTGTTTAAAATTTGTTGAATTTTGAAGTGCATAAGGACATCTTTTAGCTGTAGATACCTGTTTGGTGCAATATAAAGACATTTAGTTTGTGAATTTTGTGGGTTTTCATAGCCGTGATTAGGTTAGTTCATCAATTATATGCACTTTTGTGTTATAATTAAGTATTTTTTTAAATGAGTGGCGGTAACACTAAAATTCCTCATCCTGGTGTAAATAAAATCTCGGTTTTTACGTTTCTCAAAGACCCTACCGTTCTTAAAGAATGGGTAAGAAAATGTTTCACATCCGGCAGCAAACTAAAATGTGCTGCGCCCTCATTGGTCAAAACGGCCAACCGATGAAAGCGTAGCGTCCCTGGCCGCTAACGTTTAAAAGCAGAGCCACGAACTCTGCAAAGTGCAACGCAATTTCTGCTTCGACTGCACTTCAAGAAACAAAAAGCTCTCCACCTGCAGAACAAGGTCACCTTGCCAGCTCGACCTCGCGCCACACTCCATCAGTCAGAAGACCTGCATCTGGGCTCACCCTAACGACAGAGCTCGCCGTGTGCACCTCGGTTACCATTTTGTACATACTATAAATATACATTTTCCATAAAACGCAACAGCATTTTATTTGGCGTCATCCGCTAAAGAATGTTTAGAGTTTTAATTCCCAAAGGCTAGGTATTGGTACATAGGGGTGGTTCCTATTTTGTAGAACGCGGAATTTTATCCATTTCCACCTCTAAAATTAATTTGATTACATTTTCACAAGTCCTCGTGCAATGTAAAATAGCTTACGCACAACACTCATTTTTTCAATACTTTGATTGCTTTCAAAGGTGGAAGTCGATAAACTTCCAAGATTTCCAAATAAGATCCACCCCCATATACATATACTCATATAAATCCAAAAATATACTGCAAAAACTAAATTTTTTACCCCTTTTATTAGCTTTGTAACCTATGAGCAATTTTAAATGTGAATTCTGGATGACGTTTTCCCGCCTTCAAAATGCAAGCATTCTATTGGTTTAGAGTTACCAGACAACCTTTCTAATAAAACAACCTTGCAAGCAAACACTAAACATTTGGCAACGCTGGGATTTCTGCAATTATATTTATATACCGTGTAACAGTTTAGTTTATTCATATTCAAATTTCAAAATTACCGCTTGCTACGTTAGGCAGGATATAGGTGAGATGGCGTCACTTGTACGCGTGCTTCTTTCCTCGCGCAGAATCGCGTAATTTTTTTCACTTCATTTCCGTTTTAAAGCCAACGAGGTTGTACTTGTTGTAGAGCGTGGCATTGTGAATTCTTCTAAAACCAGTGGGTAATATTTGCCATCATTCACGTAAAATCTCTGGCAATTTTACCTTTTTATTGGCGTTGTCGAGTAGAGTAACTCAGAAGCCGTTTTCTCCATTGCGAGGCTATATATCTGGTGGAAGTTCATCGCCCTACCTACATATTCACAACCTCTTGGATAATTTCCATACCTATTTCATTGATTTAAGTATTTTTCATTACCCTCCTGACGATTTCAGGGGGTCCATGTAGTAGATGAATTCTTGTACCGGTCAATCCATGTAGTAGACGAATTCTTGTACCGGTCAATCCATGTAGTAGGTCAATCCTTGTACAGACGAATCCTTGTAGGTAAATGAATTTGCATCTTGCGAATATTCCGGAGTACGAACACCTGTTGATTGCCGGCAGCTATCCGGCGTACCACCGAGTAGATAAGCGCTAACACCTAAACGATACCGGGAGCGACCAGCTGATTGTGGAATTTTCGGAAGATACGATCTTTTACACAACCTTTTTGTTATTTGCTTCAATACCATTAATCTAGTGTAACCTTCCGACGATTTATGATTGGAGCTTTGTATTTTGTTCGCATCTAGTGTTTGAGGTCGTGTCTCTCTTCAAGAGCAACGCACCTGTATTTAACGTATGGGTAAACGAGCCGGCTACGAGTAAGCTATTTTAGTTTTGGCCCTTCTGGCTCATATAATCGTTCCGAGCGTTGTAGCTTGGGGTTTGTTTTTGTGTTACAGAACTGGAACTTCGAAGGAGAGCTCTTTTTCGGAGAAGACAGCGTATGTGTTATTCAAGGTAAGATTTTTAATTTACTTGTACCCAGTGTTGCCTATATGAGTTGTTATTCGGGTTAACTTAATTCAATCTTTGAATCCATTGAAATCTTAGCTACATTTTTGCTCGATCATTGTTGTAGGGGTCTGGTAACGTAATTATTAAGGAAGTGTTCATGAATTTATTTGGGGATTATTTTTGTCATTTAAAGTATTTGTTATTGTCGTATTGAAGATACATTTTATTTGCGATCCTGCACCGTTTTGCCAGGATTAATAAATCAGAATTGCTCGTAGTGAATTTATTATTTGGCTCTCTTGTGTTTTCCCAATTTCTATACAGGAGAGGTCAGAATTTGTGCAAAATTGGGTGGCGCTCAACTAATCATTTCTAGTGACTACCAAAGATCAAAAACTTATGTTATATGCCCAAACGAACAAACCGCTGTGGAAGATTCTCATCTCGAGCCCTTCTTTTAATTAAGAATCTGAGCTAGCTGGCCGTTTATGCGGCGGGGGTTTGAGTTTTACAGCGCCGAACTAACCTCACGTTATAAGGTACTTCTAAACAAGTAAACAAAAACAAGTAGTTGCCTTGAAATAGCCCCTTTAGGCGTAGCGTACATCCCGCGTACACCAATAAAATTGAGAAAAAGCAGTAAAATTTGTTAGGCAACACACAATACATATGCAACACTATTCTCTATGGCTATGCCGTTGAATCTCTTATTATGGTTACTCTTTGATAAAAGTCCTAAATCTCCGTACAATCTGCGCATGCGAAAGAAACTTCAAAGTTTTAATGTTATTATTAATTAAGATGTAGGTTAGGTTATTGTTTTCATCCATTGTCATCACAGGCTATTATGAATAAACATATTCGTACATCGTAATGTAGGTACATTTAAACTCGCAGACTTTTGAGGTTGTTATACCAAGCGCCATGTTTTGCTGCAGCAGTAGAAAATCCGAAAAGGGCAGTATAAGCCCCATGTCATTGATTATATACTTATATAATCAATGCCCATGTTCACAAATCGTAACCCAAGACATTTCAAATACCTACGAATCACTCATAAACGGGACGGCTACTACGGTGATAAAACTGGGACGATCCTACTGGCATAAGTACACAAATTTGGTTTCCTACCGCCTCCAATAAGACAGTCCGATCGTATATAACAACCGACACAAACAGGCCGTCACGTAACTGCATTGTTAGTGCACCACATCAACGGACCAACACTCACCGAGAGCAAGAAGGAATGGGCCATCAAAATTAGGCTGTATAAGACCATGCACCAAGTCGTTCACGTACGTGAACGTCCCTGCATTAAATTTATGTTTGCTACTTGTAGGTTTCAGTTCTTCGTACAAAGATGCCTTGCAAGTGGTCGTGCCATTGCAAACCCGAATGCAACGGCAGTAAGATCACAAAGTTTCTAACGTGCTACAAGATTTCGGTTTGAAGTTGTCTGAGCCGGAGCAGTACAAGACGACATTGCCATAGACAAGAGAAAGATTACCAAAACCGTGGGATATAATCGAATAAAAGCCGATTTACAGTTACTCAAGTCACGTTGCGGTCAATTATTACAGTCTGTATTTCTTAAGGCCAATTCACTATAACTAAGGTGCACTTTTTTATTATTGTGTAGTTTATTATTATTTAATGTTTAACATATTAGTAAGCAATAAAAAGTTTACATATTTATCAAATTTATTGTTCTTGAAACCCAATAACTTTTCTTAAAAATCAAATAAAGTTTTTTGCATACAATGTATACATTAGTAATATAATAAGCACCTTCTTCTTTGGAAGAACCTTTGATTTAGAAACGGGGAAGCTTCTCGAGAGACTGAAAGTAGGGCTTTCTATCACTTCATTGGAGTCACCCAATACTCACAGCCTTCTCTTTACAGAAACTATGGAACCACAAGTACAAATTAAACTTTATTGTGAATTATGTAGCTACTTACCTAATAAACAACTTAAGGTCGATTCACATTATCTGTCTAGTCAGGATTATATCCCACGGTTTTGGCAATCTTTCGTCCACGGCAATATGGTCTTGTACTGTTCTGGCTCAGACAATTTCAAATTGAAATTTTGCAGCACACGTTAGAAACTTTGTGACCTTACTGCTCTCCTGTTCGGGTTTGCCTCCTTTGGTTGAAACTTTCACAAACGCGCGTAATTTAGGGTATGCTTCCAAATCGGTTTCACTTTTTAATCGCAGCATTGTTTGAAGTTTTGAATGAATGCACCAAAAGATAGAAGATTTAAATACCTTTGACATTTCCTTCATATATGCCATCATTATCGATGCATTTTAAGACTTTATTCGTCTATCCATTATTCTACTATCCATGGAAACAACTTTTCATATTGTTTATAATATAGACTTTACTGGATTTGGATTTTACACCTACCAACGTTTGTTTAGATTTTACAACAATCGATTTAATGGACGGTGTATTATCTTTTTCAACGGAAATCGTTTTATTCACAAAGACGATGATTTTTATAAGTAAATGTGAAGTGACATTTCCATGGCAATCGTGAAATTACGAACACCCAGCCCACTTAATTAGACATGTATTCGAGTATTAACGTCAATATTACAGGGCCGCCCAGACAATTTCAGGGGCCTGGGACAAAGTAAATTTTGGAGCCCTGATGTTTTGGAATAGAAAAAATTTCAAAGAAAATGTTATTTTAGAAATTTACTGGCATATGTTATGTTCTACAACCTACAATTGGTTATAAACTACAAACAATAACTTCCCTCCGCAACTTCTTCTCAAGGAAGGTATGAGACGGGGGAATGCAGGGGTCATCGCTCAAGAGCGGATTGTCGAATTAGTACATCTGGGAGAAATATTTCGATGCGGTTTAAAAAATGCGCTTTATCTGCACAAGAGTTGTGCACAATTTCTACTTGTTTATTATGCGGACAAGTGATTTACCGCATTATTTTACCGGGAACAGCCACATGTTGTCATTTTCTATTCTTCGCAAGAAATCATCGTCCGTACAAATGAAAATGTGGCAACGGCAACTCTATTGCTGTTTCATTCATCCTCACAGATCCACGGCCAACACGGGGGCCCTTTGAAACCGGGGGCCTGGGGCAAATCGCCCCAGTCCCCCCCCCCCCCCCCCGGGAGGCCCTGCAATATTATTTCATTGTATTTCCTATTTTTAAATTATACTGCAGGTATAATAAACAAGTAAAAAGGATTTCGCCCTAAGGCGAGTAAATTCAGCGCATTTTCCATGAATGATCAGTACTTCCCAAAAGGCCATAGCTATGTGCGGTGTGATTTTCTTTACTAGAGGCATATAATGGTTAAAATTTCAAAGAAATGTCTCCATAAATAAGAAAGTTGACATTGCGCAGCCTGCGCATGCGCACATTAATCTAATGATGTTTACAATATGCGATACGTTTGCTTACACTAAAAGCAACTTTGGTTAAAATTTCAAAGAAATATCTCCATAAATAAGAAAGTTGCCACTGCGCACTCTGCGCATGCGCACATGTGATTTTTACTATATAATAATAATAATATAGCTTTATTGGGTGATGCAGCAGTTCACAAATACGATTAGGTAGTACATACATATTTATACAATTTAAAGATGCAGATTGTATGCAATAGACTGCAACCCCAAAGGCGAAGTTCGGTTGAAGAGCAATACTGAAGGACTGCTCTTCTCCGATCTACCACTTAACCTCAAAATTGCTGCGAAAGAACCCATAACTGACAGAATGTAAATATATATAAAAATAATGTTACCCTATACTCTATAGACATGATGCCTACTGTGATTGCCATATTTGCTTTGTGCACGTTAATCCACAGAATAAGACTTACAGCGTTTCCCGTGGTTGTACGGAGAACTATTTATCGCAGACTCAAATATTTTTTTGCAAAACCTGTAATTTTGCTCGTTACAGGAAAATAGTATACAAACCTCGCTGGTCAGTGGTTCATAACCAACGCCTCGCGCTTATACCTTAAGCCCTCGGGGTAGGTAATGAACCACCTCCCAACTCGGTATGTAATCTACTATTACCGTCAATTTTATACGTACACATGGTTTTACACATGTCAATTTTGACTTTTGAAAGATTTAAAATAGGAACAAGTTATGTGACCGTAAAAAGTGTTGTGTGGCGGATTGTAACGATAAAATATCAAAAAGGCATCGTTTCCCATATTTTGAAACAGATTGTTTTGTGCTCGAAACGCGAAGAGGGTTGAAATGTGCTGTTATTTCTCTCCTATTTATGCAAGGTATTGAATTTATAAATTACCAACGGTATAGGCGCAAAAGGGTGTAGACCAGGGTGTAGACTTAAGTTTTATATTTATATAGACGTAGATACTTATATTGTAATTCCTTTTAGATAATGAATAAAAAATACGTTTTAGATAATTCAACAACTTCCACCCTCGCTTCTCAAGTAACAAGTAAGCACCAGGATCAAGTTAACATTTGTTGTCAAAAACTTGTGTGACAATTTGCTGAAACGGTTTTTGTTGTGTAAGTATTTTGAGGTGGCACACTATTAGTTAAATTCACATGTCTTTAGTTTAGTAAACTTTAATTAAGCATAACGCAGAAGTACAGAAATTATTAATATCGAATTTAATATCCTAATTGAAAAACGATGCGTAACTAACTAAAAAAATAATAATTGACAATCCTTTTTTTTTCCCTAGCAACAGCGCGCTAGATTTTTCGACTTAATTCTAATTTAAATTGAGAACATAATAGTTTTATTACCTCTTGGAACAAAAAATTTAGTTCTAAAGATATTTTTTAACAAAAATATGTAGTCCAAACAGCAATTAAAACCAAATATTTCGTACGACAAATCGTTATGTAAGGATCTTTCTGCATAGTGTTAACATCTACAAAGCGTAAGTTCCACTCACTTCTGAGTTTTATATGTAATTTGTAAACATGTAATTTAAGTTCTCTGATATTTATGAATTGGATCGAATTGGGGAAATTACTTCATGGCTGGTCACCAGATGGCGCTGCTCTGATTTTGATGCTTTAGTTCACAGTACACCCACCAGGGTCCGCCAAAATACCATACAAATTTGTAACATTGCTGTTTCTATTCTGAGAAGGCCGTATTCTGTGCGTTAATCGTCTAACATTAAAGATGTCATACGATATTTAAATAATTTTATGGGTAAGCGTTTCAATTCGGGTGAAAGGGCATTGTACATTACAACTGCGTTGTAAGAAAATGATTTCAGATAAGCTGATTTAGAAATAAACTTGAAGGAGGGCATATGCGATATGTTTGCCTTCACCAGAAATATCTGGTTAAAATTTCAACAAAATATATTAATAAATAAGAAAGTTGACATTGCGCAGCTTGCGCATTCGTAGTTTAATTGTCAAGATTTTCCCTGGGTCAGGTGCTAGTCCTACCGAGTGCAAAAAGAACGAACTTAATATCTTGAAGACTGTAGGAGTAGTTAAGGCCTTGGACAGACGGACGGACAAAGTGGCTGCAATAGCGCACCCAACCTCGTTGGAAAATTCGCAAAAAATACATAAAAGACGCGAAACGGGGATGCTTCAAACCATGGTTGCATATGCTTCAAACAAAGGTGACAGTCTCTGCTTATCCATAGCAACGCATTAGGTATCGCGATAGTACATGCGGGTATTCAATCTTAAAATAAAGTTCTTCTCCCATTATAATAATTCATATTTTATCAATTTCTTGACGCGCTGCGCTCATTGGCCAAATACACGTCTAGTGCGCCAAAGATACTCAATTTGCAACTTGTTACATAAATAGCTATTTGCGCATGCGCATTGCCAACTTTCCTATTTATGGAGGGACTTAAATGAAATTTGATACATAACCACGGTCCGTATACTAAACGGTTGCCTCACTTCCAAACAACCAATAAAACGCGCTGCCGCTTGTGAGGTACTTCAGCCCGCAGTAAGCACCGCCCACCACACAATTCTCATGTATTTAAGCATTTAGTGATAATTCTAATAGCAAAAAGAGTTAATTTTTGCATATTTGTGTTTGTTATTGTAATGATATTTTAAGCAACAATCATGAGTAGTTTATTTCTTTGACATTTCCACAGTGGGCGGTACATACGACTTGCAGATGTGTTCCACACTGACTCCCTGTACTGCGCAAACGCAAGCGCGCTAAAATTTGAATTTGCTTTAACGCGCCACCGTTTGTTTTGTTTATAATACCAGTTCCTGCTGACTACGGCAAAAAAATTTCTGTGTGGTGTTCAGCTGTTCACAACTAGGATAATATGAGCGAGAACACGGAATAAGTTGAAGAAGACGTACTAAAAATTAATATTGTTGATTGTACCTAATAATTAGCTCCGCCCAGCTGTCCAGCATGTTGTTTAATTTTTAATTCACAGGTATTCATTTGTACGGTATGTCAGTATGTGGAACGACATTTAGTAAGCAATGCAATCTAAGCAGACACTTAAAAAATATACACAAATCTTCTGAGGGTGGCCATAAATGTACGTTGGTTTGTCCATTATGCAGCGAAACGTTATGGAAATATCAGGAACTGCATGCACATATCATTTGCAGGTTATGTGTATATTATTTACCTCAGAGTAAGAAGTAAAGATAGAGATGCCTTGATGCTTATCTATGCGTGCCATCACCTCGTTTGTTTACTA